TGTGGTAATTAGTTCTATCTACGGGGCAGAAGCAGAGTACAAAGGCTAAATGTGAAAATTAGTTCTATCGGTGGGGGTGCTAGCCCCAGTCCTTGTGACTATCCTGCTGTTTGCTTTTTCTCAGACAGCCTTATCATTCTCCCAGAACCTGGGGTTTGGGGTGAACAAAGGTTTTCCAAAGCTTCCCACATCAAAGAAATAAAAAGTTATAGCATTTACCTCACAGAATTATTGAGAGTATTATATGTGAAGCACTTAGTGCTTGGCATGTTGAAAACATTACTCACTATTAGGTAGTTTTAAATTAAACATGTTAATAAATTGTACCTCATTTTCATTTATATTGACAAGAACTAGAATACATTTTTTAACACTTAGCATTTTGCCAGACATATTATGCATTCTCAATACACATGTACTGAATCATTCTTACGACAGTCAGTGGTCTCACCAGCTGCAAGGAGCAAACCCAGTGTGTGCAGCTGCAGCTGAGTTCCTTGTGTTTTTGACTGGGGAGCACACTTTCCCGGGGGAAATGGGGGTTCCCCAGGGAGTGGTGATTATGGGGTTTATCTGTTTCCTTTGCTGAAGTGTGTCAGTCTGGGTAGATTTATGCAGATTGTATTACCCGTTTTAACTAAGCCAAGCATCACAAAATAATCATGCCTTGCAAAAATCATTGAAAAGACATTGCAGATTGTAGTTGTACAAGTGCAAGTGCAAGCAAACAATATCAATCATTTGATTGTCATTGTCATGACATAAATGTTTATTTCACATGTATTTTTAAATTCATTTTATGTCAACTTTTTAGTTTATTTTTTGCATATTTTGCTCTATTATAAAAATATACAGAATACATGTAATGAATGCTACATATATACTTTTGGTTTAAAGTTAGGGTTACCAACTTCCCGGCTTGTTTAGGGAATGCCTTGGGTTTATTGTGTTTTCCTATGGTCTGGGAAACCTGTCATTCCTAGGCAAATAAGGATTGTAGGTCACTCAACAATATTTTTTAACTGATAGGGGTGCATAAAAAATTACAGGGAAGAATATGTATTAGAGAGAGAAGAAGGGAGAGAAAGGAAAATGTCTATGTGAGAAAGAAACATCTATGTGAGGCAGAAACATGGACCAGTTGGCTCCTGTAGGTGCCTGGACCAAGGTTCAATCCCACAACCTAGATGTGTCCCCTGACTGGGAATCAACTGCAACCTTTTGGTGTGTGAGATAGTCCTCCAACCCACTGGGCCACCTGCCTGGAGCTACAGGGACTATATTAAACCATCTCTTCACCATTCTTCCTAAGTGTTAAGAATGGTATAAATCAGGCCCAGCTAAGACTGACAAGTCTGATCACTTCATCTGCAGGCAATTAGGCAATTTCTGGGAATTTCAACCATAGTCTAGTAGGACAAGAGGATCTCTAGAAAATTGCTCTGTCCAAACCCTGAGTTAACTGCCTTCCTTTATTTGAAAAGGCCAAGGCCAGAGCACTTTGTCTAATAAATCCAATGTGAGTAAAATAGGAGGTTTACTTATAGTGACTGTTAAGAATAAGATCTCTTCAGAATAAAAGAATTCCAAGTGACACCAGGCCTCCCAAGATATCCTGTCAAGCTGTCAAGGGTTTGTCATTATGATCGCAAGAAATAGGGAAGGTAGATAACTCCTTGGTCCAAATTTTTCTCTTTTTGCTAATGAAGGGAAACTCTACTGGTGGTAAGGCAGGGGACTCCCACCTGCCCAGCCTCTGCTCACAGCTTAAGTGTAGGTAGAACTCTCTGCAAATAGACACCCCATTTTTGAGAACTGTCACTTCTAGCACATTCCTACAGCAGGGTCGATTTAATACTCTGACAAATATTTCTTCAAAATCAGAGAATATGATTCTGTAAAAATTCAGTTTTCATGGGATCTGTAGAATTTCAATTAATCTGATAAAAGGAACTTATATGTGCTTGCATGAAGAAGGAGACAGAAGAGGTAAGGGAGTAATTATATTTAAAAAGTCAGAGGATATTTTAAATATTAATGAAAAATTTTAATTAAAAATTCATGAAGACAATACAAGATAGAAAAGTATATTCCATATAGGTTAATTTACTTATAGCTGTTTCAAACTGCTAGTTAAGAAATAAATATAAATAAAAATTTTAATACTGCAATAGTTAAATAGCAATAGTTTACTAAAAAGGTAATGACTCTGTCTACATGATACCAAACAGCAGTGTTAATTGTATGTGTCTGTGTGGCTAGGCTATGGTGGAAGTTTTGGGTCAAACACTAGTCTAGATATTACAGTAATGTGGGTGGGCCACATTTACTCAGGAGCAAAGACAGATTTCCTGCAGAAGGATTAGTGCCTTCAGATTGCAAAATAGAAATTATGTCTTATTTTCCTGGCTACGAACTCAAACCCACAACAGTATGTCGTACTTAAGTCTCCATCCTGCCATTTTTGACCTACAGATTCCTAACTTGCTAGGTGCCACATCATGTAAACCAATTTCTTTTTTCCTAAGGATTTTATTTATTTATTTTTAGACAGAGGGGGAGGGGGAGAAAGAGAGGGAAAGAAACATCAATGTGTGTTTGCCTGCAACCCAGGCATGTGCCCTGACTGGGAATTGAACCGGTGACCCTTTGGTTTGCAGGGTAGCACCCAATTCATTGAACCACACCAGCCAGGGCTAAACCAATTTCTTCAAACCTCTCCCCCACCCCTTTTCTCCTGCTCTCTCTCTCACCATCTTCCCCTGTTGGTTTTCTGGAGAACCCTGACTAATGTAAGCAGATTTGAAATGCAGAATCGCTTAGCTTCATTTTCAATAAAGCATCAATCAACCAGCAATGTGGAAATTCCTAGGTATTTGGCAATGTATATAAAATAACTCTCAGTTTAAAATACATTTAAAGTAGCTTTTAATATTTATAGCTGAGGGAAGTTGGTTGTTTTAGTTTAGAAGGAAAAGATCTAGATAATTTAGTCCAGAGGGATCAATGATGCAACATAAAAGATTTTTAAACTGCATTAATGGAATAATCTGGTGGGTTTATTTATTTATTTATTGTCTTCAGACCAAATGCCAGAAATGAGCAATTTTTTGGTTTGTAAAGATGTTGTTAATATATGTGTTCTACAGATAATTTGGTATAGGGTTTAAAAAAGTGTACTGTCTGCATTTATTATCTTTTTTTAAAGGATTTTGTTTATTTTATTGTTGGGAACCTTACACCTGGCTTCTAGCTAAAAACATTGCATTGATTACAGGAACCTGTGCGCTCCACAAGCCAATCGGCTACAGGCACATGAGGTGTGCTTGCGCTCCACAAGCCAATCGGCTACAGGCACATGAGGTGTCCACGAATACCAGCTGCACCCAAGTAATCAATAAGCGGGCCCTCCTTTGTCTCAAGCTAGCCAACAGCAAGCAACCTAATCTCTCCCCCCCCCCCGCCCATATATATACCCAGTTCAGAAAAATAAAGTTTGGAGCTTGATCAGAATCTTTTGTCTTGCTGCCGTTCTTTGCGCCTCTTGTCCCCCCAACTCATTTGTTCTAGGTAGGTGGTCGAGCCCCAGTTGATTGCTCCGCGGGCGGAGCATTTTATTTTCAGAAAGGGGAAAGGAGGGAGAAAATTAGGGACAGGAATATTAGTGTGTGGTTGCCTCTTGCATGCCCCTAGCAGGCTGGCACCCAATCCACTGAGCCACACCAGCCAGGGCTATATTTGTTATCTTATACAGGACCTATTTTTTAAAAATCTCTTAAAAGAATGATTTTAATTTTCAGAACATACATACTTTTACCTATCAGTTTAAAAATGTTATTAATTTCCCTTTTTGTATATTCTGTGTAGGGAGGCATTTCACATGGCATGGAAATGTAGCTCAGCTCCCACACGGAAAACCAGTGGGAAGTGAGTCATCACACAGGACCACGCCCATGGATAGGTTTTCTCGAGAGGAATCAGGACTGCATTGTACCTAGGCTGCTGTGAGACTTGCTTTTGCTAAAACTCCCTCACCCTGAATTGAGGTAGGAAGTGCTTGCTATAACTTCCTAAAGTCTATGCTAAACCTCCCAAGTATGGAGTGTAACCAGTTCAACTACTTTTCCCCTTGGTCTGTAACATTCTTTTCTTTGAAGTAATCAGCAACATTATTTCCTTTGTTATCTGTAAAAGGTAATCACCTGCAGCAAACCTGTGCATAGTAAATGAGGACCATCCTCAATGTAATGTACCCAGAAAAGCTATAAAAGCCTGTCCAAGCAGGGGCCAGGGCCCCCTCTCACTCAGAGAGCTGCCATAGCATCCCTTTTCCTTCACAGGACTTCTGTTGTCTTTGTGTATTTGTTCATAGCAACCACAACACACAGATCTTGCAGGCCAGGATCCACATCAATTCTCTTCTCATCCATTTCCACAAATATTGATATAACAATAATATTATATGACATGTTTTTTGATACTTACTTTAGTAATATTTAGTTTCTGAAAATACTGATGGTATTCTTAAAGGAAACCACTGGCATATAAGAAAAATACAATGTTTAGTTCTGTAGGTCTGTTGTAACTACATGGACTATTTAAAATATTACAGAATGGCACTCTTGATGCATATAAAATTGTAATTTCAAACGAATAAGCTGAAAAATTTTTAACTGCTATTCTTCTATGCTGCAATACACCTTTTGAATTATAACCAGACATTAAATTTAGATAACAGACAAGAGTGTAGAAGTTTTAATAATTAAACTGATGAGACATTTAGCCATAAGCTATTTCTTTATTGTCATTTCTAGGAAGTTTTTTGTACATAAATTAAAATGAAAACAATCTCAGAAAAGGATAAATGAAGCACAATAGATTACATGCTCTCCACTGAATCGCTTTCCCCTGAGGATTCCAACTTGGATATTCTGTCAATAAAATAACAACAGTTAAGAGCTCAGTTTTGTTTCAAGGGAATGAAGTACTTAAATCAATACTCAAATGTTTTGATACATACTCTGAATTTCATCACGTTCTTTATTTCCTAAAATAGAAAAAATATAAAATTAAAAGCATTTATTTGCTCTTCTGGCTTTTAGAATAAGACAATCAACTCAGGGTGGGGGGGGATGGCTTTTTAACTTAAGAAAATCTGTCTGATGCTTCCTGCCAACAATGTGGTGTCCACAAGTATTTCTGGAATATGCCTCTCGTGTTGAAGGCATGAAAGTTAAACATAGACTACACTGTGTAACTTGACCTTTGCCATTCTGATTTGCCCATTTAAACTCCATGCAAAAGGTAATTTTTCATGTTGAATTTTGGGTTCCCAGAGGCTTCCATCAAAGATTTCACTCATTTCTGTAGTGGCCCTTGCTCCGAATTTTGCTCTACATCTTTTCCTCATCAGATATTTCTCCCCTATTTACCATTCTATCAGTGATCTGCAATTTGTTAGGCTTTCATTTATTTTATTTTTAAATTTATTTATTCACTTTTTTAAGTGCCTATTGTGTATTTAGCATGATTCCGGCCTTTGAATATGGGTGTATTGGTTATCAGGAGAAATAAAGTTCTCCTTACAGAAAAATAGAGAAGGAAATCTATCACCAATTTAAAAATGGACTGAATATATACATATGAGTAAAAAGGATCATTTCAGAACATGATTAGCATTATGAAAAAATAAACTGGGCCAGCCCTGGCTGGTGTGGCCCAGTTGGTTGGAATGTTGTGCTGTAACTGAAGGATTGCAGGTTCAATTCCTGGTCAGGGCACATAAAATCCTGGGTCTGGCGCATATGAGAAGCATCTGATTGATGCTTCTCTCTCAAATCAGTGGCCAGGATCAATATGTTTATTTTTAAAATTGTTTTGAGGTAATCTGGAATTAGAGGCACCATACTTCTTTAACTGAAGTATATATAACATGGATACAGAAATATACATATCTCATGGGAAGTTTGATGAATTATCACAAAGTGAACACATCTAGATAATCTTTTGGTGTAATCTCTCCTCTTGTAATCATTACATCCCATTTCCTCTAAAGGTAAGGTCAGGATAAGGAGCTATCCTGACTCCACACATGGATTTCTTCTGCCTGATTTTGAACTTTATGTAAGTAGAGTCATTTGATATGCTTTTATTTGTTGCCTTTCTTGTTTTGTGCATCACGACTTTCTTTTTAACAATTTCTAAATCATCTATCCCCTTCACCCATTTCCCTTTATCCTCAGTCAAAGGATTTATACACTTATCCTTAAAAAGTATCTTCGTTTTGAGAACCAAAAGGCTGGTGATAGAACAGAAACATTCATTTTAAATCACAATTAACTTGGACACTAATTAATGTATTACTTCTGAGTGAGTCACTCTTTTAATAATGATTAATAAGCGGAGGAGGATGGAGGCAAATGCTAATAAACATTTCAACTGGTGGTGGTTTGTCTAGTAGCAAATATATACTGAATTAGCAGATGACTCCACCAAATTTAGAACTCACTTCTTTCTGTCCTTTAGCCTGAGGGGGAGAGCATTCAGTTGCCCCACAAGCATCTGAGTTTAAAAATAACTCATGACAGATGACTTATACCATCATATAGCAGCGATCAAATCCTATATACAACTTCTTTATAAACTTGAGGAGAGCTAAATTTTTGCCTTCTAAATAGAATGTTACAATTGTTTTTCCCCCTTTTTGCTTACGGCAGAGCTTGTTTTCACAGGTCTCTTCATTGCACATAGAACAGGGCGTTCCTTTTTTATAAGGGAGTGTCTTCATATAATTTCCTCTGTAAATGAAAAGAAACATTGAGTAGCCAAATGGCTATTTATTACTCTAATTTTGTTCATTCATTTATGTAAGTTTTTTGGTTGCTCATTACATGATGAATTTTGAAAGGAAAATAACATTTGTCCCAATTTTATGTTTATTTCTTTTGTAAAAAGAAACTTTAAAATTGTTCTTTTTCAGCATATTCATAAAAGTTATATTGTTTAAAAATATTCTTTATTAATTAGATTAAATTTATTTGTATTGTTTCTCACCTACAGTTGTCTCTATTTTCCCCATCTCCTACCCCTCTCCCACCTTCAATCCCACCCCCCTTTGGCTTCGTTCATGGTCCCATATACATGTTCCTTGATGACTTTTCTCCTTTTTTCCCCGTTATCTCCCTTGCCCCCTCCCCTCTGGTTACCATCAGTTTGTTCTTTATTTCAATGTCTCTGTTCTATTTTGCTTGCTTGTTGGTTTTGTTGATCAGGTTCTGCTTATAAGTAAGGTCATATGGTATTTGTCTTTCACCGCCTGGTTTATTTCACTCAGCATAATGCTCTCCAGTTCCATCCATGCAGTCATGAAGAGTAGGAGCTCCTTCTTTTCTTCTGCTGCATAGTATTCCATTGTGTAAATTTACCACAGTTTTTTGATCCACTTATTAACAGATGGGCATTTAGGTTGATTCCAACACTTAGCTATTATAAATTGCATTTCTAGGAACATTGGGGTGCATAGATTTTTTTGAATTGGTGTTTCTGAATTCTTAGGGTATAATCCCAGCAGTGGAATTGCCAGGTCAAAAGGCAGATTCATTTTTAGTTTTCTAAGAAAATTCCATACTGTTTTCCACAGTGGCTGCACCAGTCTGCATTCCCACCAACAGTATAGTATGGTTCCCTTTTCCCCACAACCTCTCCAGCACTTGTTGTTTATTGATTTGTTTATCATGACCATTCTGAATGGTGTGAAGTGGTGTCTCATTGTGGTTTTAATTTGTGTCTCTCTGATGGCTAGTGATGCTGAAAATCTTTTCATATGTCTCTGGGCCATCTATATGTCTTCCTTGGAGAAATGTCTGTTCAGGTCCTTTGCCTATTTCTTTCTTTTTTTTTTTTTTAGATTTTATTTATTTATCGTTAGAGGGGAAGGGAAGGAGAGAGGGAGAGAAATATCAATGTATGGTTGCCTCTTGTGCGTCCCTGCAACCCAGGCATGTTGCCTTGACTGGGAATCGAACCACAGTTGTTTGGTTCACAGGCCCATGCTCAATCCACTGAGGTACATCAGCCAGGGCTGCCTATTTCTTAATTGGATTGTTTGTCTTCCTGGAGTGGAGTCATGTGAGTTCTTTATATATTTTTGAGATCAAACCCTTGTCCAAGTTATCATTTGAAAATATATTTGCCTATATGGTTGGTTTTCTTTTTATTTTGCTGATGTTTTCTTTAGCTGTGCAGATGCTTTTTATTTTGATGAAGTCTCATTTGTTTATTCTTTTCTTTTTTTTTTTTAAGATTTTATTTATTTATTTTTAGAGAGAAGGGAAGGGAGGGAGAGAGGGAGAGAAACATCAATGTGTGGCCACCTCTTGTGCTCCCCCCCACTGGAGGAATCTGGCCCACAACCCAGGCACGTGCCCTGACCAGGAACCGAACCAGTGACTCTTTGGTTCGCAGGCCGACACTCACTCCACTAAGCCACACCAGCCAGGGCTGTCTATTCTTTTCTTTATGTATCTTATTCTAGGGGACATATCAGTGAAAATATTACTGAGTGGAATATCTGAGATCTTCCTGTCTGGGTTTTCCTATGGGACTTTTATGGTTGTTGTGACTTGTATTTAGGTCTTTTTATTCACCTTGAGTTTATTTTTGTATGTGGTAGAAGTTGGTGGTCATTTCATTTTTTTTGTATGTAGCTGTCCAGATCTCCCAACATCATTTATTGAGGGGGCTATTTTTACTCCATTTTATGCTTCTGCTCACTTTGTCAAATATTAATTGGCCATAGAGACTTCAGTTTGTTTCTGGACTCTCTATTCTGTTCCATTGATCTATGTGTCCGTTTTTATGCCAGTACCAGACCATTTTGATTACTGTGGCCTTGTAATATAGCTTGATGTCAGATATGGTCATCCCTCCTACTTTGTTCTTCTTTCTCAAAATTTCTGCAGCTATTCCAGGTTGTTTATGGTTCCACATAAATTTTTGAAATGTTTGTTCTATATCTGTGAAATATGTCATTGGTATTTTAATAGGAATTGCATTGAGTCCATAGATTGCTTTGGAGAATATGGACATTTTGATGATGTTAATTCTTCCAGTCCATGTACATGGTATATACTTCCATTTATTTATATCTTCCTTAATTTCTTTCTTCAGTGTTGTGTAGTTTTCTAAGTACAGATCTTTTGCTTCCTTGGTTAGGTTTATTCCTAGGTACTTTATATTTCTTGTTGCTATAGGAACTGGAATTTTTCCCCCTGATTTCTGTTTCTGATATATCATTGTTGTTGTACAAACATGCCTTCAATTTATGAATATTGACTTTGTATCCTCCTTATTAATTTTTTTGAAAGAGAGAGAAGATGTGAGGGGTAGCAAGAGACACAAACGTCAATTTGTTTTTCATGTATTTATTCTTTGATTCTCTTATAGGCCCCGACCAGATATCGAACCTGCAACCTTGGCATGTCTGGATGACACTCTAACCCACTGAACTACTTGGCCAGGGTGTTATATTCTTGAATATTCTATAGAACACAAGTTAGATGTGAACCCATTGTAATTATGTATGTAACAGGCACAGATTTTATTTTTGTTGTAAAACATGAAGACTATCTCTTTATTTTGTAAATGAAATAAGCAAAATTTAAATCGCAAATGGAAACACAATACCGTAGCCCTTATCTAGTTCTGTTTGATGGTGTACCAAATAATGGTACCATTTACTTAACCATTTGGCAGATATTATGCCTGCTTTTCAATAAAATAAGCTGATACATTCTAACAAACTTGCTTTTTTCTCTCGTGTCTGTGACTGTGGAATATTTTAAAAAGTGTTACTTAGGGTACACAAAGCAAAACACTAATGACATTACAGTATTCCATTAAAGAATAAGCCACAATTCACTTACCCATTCATCTGTTGATGGACATTTGGGCTGTTCCGGTTTTTTGCTGTTATATACAATACTACCATGCACCTTTGAATATGTATATGTCTTTTTATGTACATACATTTTCATGAATACATATCTAAGACTGGAATAAATAGATCATGTGATTGGTACATACTTAAGTTTTTGAGCACTTGCCACACTGTTTTTACAGAATAGCTGTGACACTGTATCCTCCCACCAGCTGCGGTTGGGAATTCTGCTTCCTTCACATCTTCCTCCGGATCTGGAGCGGCCAGTCTCCGCCATTCACATTGCTGTGTGGCTGTATTCATCGTGGTTTTAATTTGTATTTCCCTAAATGATTAATGATGTTGAGGCTTTTATCGTTGCTTGTTTGACACCTGCATATTTCCTTTAACTTTTTATCCATTTTTATTGTTTTCAGTATTTCTGATATAGCGTTGTGACAGTTCCTCCTATATTCATAGTACAAGTCTTCTATCTGATACATTTGGCAAAGACTTTATTCCAGTTTGTAGCTTATCTTTTTATTCTCTGATTATTGCCTTTGAATGGTTTTAATCCTTTTTGATGCCTCCATCTTGACTGGAAGCTCAATAGCTGTAATTTTTTATTTTAATGTAATCCAACTTGTAAATTTGTTTTTTATGGATCATGCTTTTGGTGTGGTAGCTAAAAATTTTTGGCTGTTAAGGTCACAAAATTTTCATCCATGTTTTCTTCCATACGTTTTATAGTTTAGGTTTTACATGCAGGTCTAAGATCTGTTGTGAGTTATTTTTGTAGATTGTATTTTGTGTAGATTCAAGTTTACTTTTGGTTTTTATAGGTGGATGACATATTGTTCCAGTAGCATTTGTTGAAAAAAAACTTTTCCACTGCAAAAATAAACCCATGTGTGGTTTTATAGGTCAATTTATTGAAAAATTACATCTCACCCTGTCTGGTATAGCTCCGTGGATTGAGCACGGGCCTGCGAACTAGAGGATTGAGGTTAGATTCCCAGTCAGGGCATGTGCCTGGGTTGCAGGCCAGTTCCCAGCAGGGAACACATGAGGGGCAACCATACATTGATATTTCTCTCCCTCTCTCCTTCCTTTCCCCTCTAAAGATAAATAAATAAAAATCTTTTAAAAAATGATGCCAATTATTTTTTTAAAAAGAAAAATTATATCTTAACAATATTGAGTCTTTTATCCTATTAACTAGGTATATCTCTCTATTTATTTGTGTATGTGTTAATTTCTCTCATGAACATTATGTAATTTTTATCTTATAGGTCCTTCATATCTACTGCCAGATTTATCTGTAGATAATTTATAGTTTTTGATGCCATTATAAAGGGTATTATCATTTTATTTCAACTTATGATTGTTTGTTGCTAGATTATGGACATGTAATTGCATTTTGCATTTTGATCTCGTATCCTGAAAAATTTCTAAACTTACTAATTAGTTCTAGAAGAGTTTTCATAGCTTCTGTCGGATTTTGTATATAGATGTGTGGATCAGCGGTCAGCAAAGTGTGGTCCCTAAGCTAAACCTGGCTTGTGGTCTGTTTTTGTGGATTGTGAGCTAAGAATTGATTTTTTTATATTTTAAAGGGTTATTTAAAACAATAAAAAACACAAAGATAAATGTGTAATAGAATGCATGTGTTTTGCAAAAAGCCTAACACTTTTACTATCCGTACTTTACAGAAAAAGTACTGTCTGGTACTTTACAGAAAATTTTGTATACTGTTTGGCATAATGTTACATGCAGGTTTTCCAAAGATGCTCTTTATTAGTTTGAGAAGTTTCCTTCTATTTCTAGTTGGCGGAGAACTTTTATTGGGAGTAAATATTTGTCCTTTTCTCAGTCTAGTGAGATGATCTTTATTTTTAAGCTGATTGATGTGGTTAATTACATAGATTGATTTTAGATTGTCAAACCAGCTCTACATTCCTGGAATAGACTTCATTTGGACAAGGTGTATTGTGTTTTTACCATATTATTGGATTCAATTTTAAATTTTATTTAGAATTTATGTACCTATGTTCATAAGAGATACTTCTCTTTTTTCATTTTACTTCTTCTTTGTAGTTTGTGTCTTTTAAGGATTTCTTCAACTTTATGCAAGTTGCCTGATTAACCCCATTATTATTTTTGTCTTCTTTATCCCTGGTGACATTTTTTCCTCTGAAATTCACATGATCTGATGTTAACATAAACACTACAGGTTTACTTTTTACTAGTGTTAGTATAGTAAAGCTTTTTCCATCCTTTTACTTTTAATGTATTTGTGTCTTTATGTTTAAAGTATATTTCTTGTAGGAAGCATATAATTGGTTCTCGATTTGTTATCTATTCTCATAATCTCTGCTTTTTTATTTGGGTGTTTGTAGCATTTACATTTGAGGTGAATATTGACATAGTTAAAATTAAAGCTATCATCTTCTTATTTATTCTGTTTCATTTGTCCTTTATTTTTCTTCTCTTTAAGTTATGCTTTTGTCATAGTTATTTCTGTTGCTAACTGAGTGAGTAGAAGAAATACAGAAAGAGATATACACCTTTGTTCTTCTCCACAGCAATTTTGGCATATCCCCACATTTCTTCTTCTTCTTCCTCTTCCTCTTCCTCCTCTGCCTCCTCCTCCTCCTGCCCCTTCTCTTTCTCCTTCTCCTTTTTCTTCTCCTTCTTTCTTCTTTTTTAACCAATCCTTGTATATTTTTTCTGTGTCTGTGTTTTCATCTGTTGTATATTTTAATATTTTTGTTTGTTAAATGGTTGGATTGTGAATGGATTTTATCTTCTTGTACGAATCATTAAGATTAGAGTTCCAGAATTTCATTTTGGGGCCCTCCAATTAGGCTTATGTTATATTTCCAATTAGGTGTGCAATTACCAAAAAGGCAATAAAACTTATGGTATTTTCTTCTTAGAAGAATGTGCTTTGCACCATCATTCTGAATCATTTGCTCATTCCATTGATGTTGTATTATGCTAGGAAAGCATCTACCAACTTCTCTAGTTTTCCAACATTTAGTGTGACAATGCATTTTAGATTATCTGTTTTTTTTTTTACTTAAACAATATTCATCATTTTCACTCTAAACTTTAAATATTTCATGGCAGGTATAATTCTTTACACAAAGTAATAGCAGTATCCTCTCACCACTTTCTATTTTCATCTGTATCATTTGATTAGCATTGTAGAGTGAGACTTTATTTATTAAATATATTCTTGTCTTTTTAGTGTAAGACCCTATGTTGGAAACAATTTGTAACACTTATTTCAATATAAAATATTTTTAATAGCAAAGTTACTTACCCAGGTCCATAGTCACATACAAATATTGAAATTTCAGCTTTCCCAAGGTTAGGGCAAAGTGTAATTGCACAGCCAACTTTATATGAATTGGCCCAAACTACCTATAAGAAAAAAAATTTAAATAAAATATGCAAAACAACTCTATGCCACAGTGCATTGTAGAAATAGCTATAATAGTCATGCTATAAAAATGAATATACATAAATTCTTGTTGGCTATTTTTCTTAATTTCTAATATTTAGTTTAAAACAATTTTTAAAGGACAGTTCTCATTAGGGGTACCTAATTTTTCCTTATTGATAATTCTCAGAAATCAAAAGGATATATTATATAGTAAAAATAATAATTTGTTCTAGATGATTTATGAGACATTTTTATTTTCTCCATGGGTATTAAATACACACAATGTTAAAATCAGATTTTAAAAAGGAAACAATTAACTTTTATTTCTGTTTCTTTAAATGTTCTAATTAGTTTATTATTGCATTTCAGATTTTGTGGTCTTAACCATATTCTTATCTCTGTCAAACCAAAAGAGACAGATAGGGACTGAGACTTAGAACATATTGGGTTTGTGCAAAAAACATGCCTGCCATAGGAATGGTGAATATTTTTGTTTCATTGTAAAGAAGAGCAGCTATTCAGAATAAGATTTCTATAGAAAACTAGCTATGAGGGAGAGAGGTAAGGAGGTGAAAAACTTAGTATTCTTTTGTGGCAATGATATAATGGAATTTTCTTCCATTTCCCAAATGGACAAAGGGGAAAATGTGCTGTTTTGGAAAACAAAATAACCAGGAAAATTGACATAGGTGTTGATAACACAAGTGAATTTTCTGAATTCATTTATTTTACAATTCAATTAACAAAGCATGTTGACACAATTTATTAGCTGATGCATTACTCACTATTTCCCATGGCCCAGGTACAGCTGTAATCAACAGTTTTACAAAATGTATTTTAATGGCTTTTTGTTTGCCTGAGGGTCAGTAAAGTGCAATAAAATCACTTTGAACAAAAAAGAGATGAGTTTTACTTCTAACCATGTGTGTGGCTTTGGAGAGTGAAGAATCAATTCTGAGCTAGTTTCCCACTTAATAATGTGAGATTAAGCTAGATTCTTAAAATACCCCGTTGCTCTTGAATGTTTTAGAAATTTAATGAACTATATAACTACATGTATGTATATATAATTTTTCAAGAAATTCATGTCTAAAAATTTGGTTCATGACTAACCAACTACACCATGAAATTTTATTTTCTTAATATATCTAAACTCTGATGTTTTTGGCTTTTGGAATGCTAAAGATAAATATTGATTATGTATAGGTTTAAAATATTTTCCATTTATTAAAGGAACTACATGTAACATTAATATGAACATTGACTATGACTTCAGTACAAACATCTTCAGATAGTAACAGTAAGAAATCTTTATATTTCCTTCAGAACACTAAAAAAGATACACTAAACAACAGTTGTTGAACCAATAAGAAAAGTGGAACTATTCTAAATTGTTTAAACATATATGTAAATTAGCCAATGAGGAGTGAGCTCTGGTTTCTGTCGTCATATGCAAAGGGTCAAGGTCGTATTTGAAAACAGGTTATTTTTCCTTTGCGGTAAAAGAGGAAACAAAGGATTATGTGGAAGCTGTGGCTCAGCCTTGATGCCATATGAGGAATATGCTTGTTATGCTTGCATTCTGCTTGTTATCAGGACACCTGATATTTGATCCCATTCGCTCAATTTCCTAGCAATAACCAAACTGTAATCTTTGTATAAAACATCTATTCTGAGAAAGAAGTCCAGAGTTACAGCATCCTGTTACTGGATAAAGATTAAATGCAGTAGTAGCATGAAAGCTCCTAATTCCATGTTCAGTGCACCTCTGATAAAAATGACATGCTTTCAGACTCTGTATGTTAATTCAACTTACACAGACGAGTAAGTTTGGAAAAGAGAGCTTTTTCTCTTGCTTAAATGGGCCATCCTAGGACATTAGTGCCATATCTAGGGTTAGCTTGGCTGAAATGTGACTTCCATTTCTAACCAAAAAGTCTCACCTGAAACAACCAAAAGAACTGGAAAATTTATAGAAATAAAGTTTTTCAATATATTAGATATACGACAACAAAGAATAATGTCCCCTGAAAGCTGGGGTGGGGAGAAGCTGTGAGCTGTACAATTGTCCCAGCTTATCGCTTTGAGAGAATTTTCAAGTGGTGGCTGGAGGGGGAGGGGTGGTGGGAAATCAGGAGAAGCTTGATGGATTCACACAGTAGAAAGACAGTGAAAGTCTGGGGAGACAAGGAGGTGGGAGTTTAGTGGTGAAAATCTAACTCTGACACTGCTGTGGAGATCTGCAGGGGGTCCCCATCATCAATTCAGCACAGTACTAATCAAAGCATGCGTTTGAATAAAGCACCCTCGGCCTGGGAAAGAACCATCTATAAAAACTGCGGGAAAGAATACTGAGGTTTACACTGGGCCAGGAGTAGAGCCTTTCCCACTGTCTAGACTGGTGAGTTTCATAATTTCTGGGGCACTAGGGTAGAGCACATAGAAGAATTTGGTTTCACTAAACATGGCCTTCATTCTACTTAATATTTTAAAAACAGGAACAAAAAGGATCTAACAAATTCCAGGTAACTTAACTGTACCCCATAGGAGAATCTAAGAATATTATAAGTATATAAATAAATCAAGTATCCAATAAGGCAAAAGTTACAAAATTGGGAATGTAATAAAACACCCGATGTGATAAGCAGAAAAATTAAGAGGGAAAATCAATCTATTGAAAGTACCCCAGAACTAAAATAAATGCTAGTAATAACAGAGAAAATGTTAAAAACAATTACTATAACTATCTCATATGATTGAGAAACTAGATAAAAGGTCAAGAATTATAGGTAGTTACTGATGATATAAAAAACACAAAATCAAACTCCTAGAGAGGTAAACTTTAACATCTAGGATGAAAAATAAACTAAATGTCTTTAGCAGTAAATTAAACATTAGAGAAGAAAATATTAGTGAATTAAAAAATAAGGCTATCTGAAATTTATCACGGAGTTTAAAAAATTGAAGAAATTTAAGAGAAAAAGAGCAGAAAATATCAATCAACCATAAGAAAACTCAGGTGGCCCTTCTACACTGGTGACTGCACTCTGGGAGAAGAGAAGTGAGAGATGGTGACAGAACTATTTCAAGAAACAATATCCAACATTTTTCAAAATTCGATTTAAACTACATTTTTCAAAATTTGATAGAACTGCAGTGCTAAGGAACTCAGTTAACTGCAACACAAAAACATGAAGAAAACTTTAGTAATGAAATTGTTCAAGACTTGACACAAAGAAACATTTTTGAAGTTAATCAAAGGGAAAAAAGCACATTATATACACAGAAATAAATGAAAGGTTGACAGTAGATTGTTTATTTGGAATTAATGCATTGAGATGACAGGAGAGTAATCTTTAAAGTTCAAAAAAACAAAAGCTCCCTGGAATTTTATACCCAGTAAAACTACCTTTTAAATGAAGGTGAGTTTTTAGGATATACAACAGAAACTCAAAAGGAAATGCTAAAAAAACATGTCTTGTGATTGAAATGGGCATAAATAAAAACTAATCAATAAAATATCAAATACTTACCTGTGTATAATGGCCACAAACTTTGGAACACTGTAGACTACTATAATTATAAAATTTATTTTCACTATACCAAGAAGCAATAACAGATTTTGGTGTGAATGTAGATAATGAACCTATCCAGATATTTTCTCCAATAAATTCAAAAGTTGGATGACATTTATACGATTTACTCATACAGCCATTGTGGATAAATTTGCACTTATTTGCCCATGCTTTTGCTGTCTTTGCTAAGCCTTCATCCCAAGTCTGGAAGACAAAAATAATTTAAATTGAATTGTGCATATTTGTTTGCATTAAATTATTCTCGTTATTGTGATCAATTAAATTTTATTTAAATTTTAATTTTAATAAAGTACAGTTTTTTTGGCATTTATTATGTTCACCATTTGTCATTTCTTTTTATTTTTTATTTTTATTTTTAATATTAAATTTTATTTAGTTACTTTTCAAGTACATTTTTTTTTATCTATTTCTCCCATCCCACCCCACCCCCCCGCCTGGTCTCCCCCCTCCCTCCCATTCCCCCCCCCCAGTCCTCATCTCTGTGTCTTTCATACTTGTTCCTCAAAATCCCTCCCCCTACCATTTCTTTTTAGTTGTGCTTCAGAAACCCTCTATGACCCACTCTATGACAGTTCATTTTTGGCCTGGTACAGTATAAGCAGTCAGCAAATATTTGAATGTGATTTAAATCAGTTGAAGTTCACAGTCTAGTAATTCAGAAAGACATGCAAACATATCATAAGTAAACAATGAGTACGCACTTATAATTAAAAAGGAAAAATCTTCCTAGCACACTAGAATAGAATTTCCTTAATTTGATCAAGTGTGTGTGTGTGTGTGTGTGTGTGTGTGTGTGAACCATATGGCAAGCATTAATACAAAAATGATGAAATATTGAAAGCTTTCACCCAAGAATAGGAATGAAACAAGATGTCTCATTTCTATTTAAAATTGTACTGGAGCCCTCGCTGGTGTGGCTCAGTGGATTGAGTGCCAGTCTGTGAACCAAAAAGACACTGATTGCATTCCCAGTCAGAGCACATGCCTGGGCTGCAAGGCCAGGTCTCCATTAGGGGGTATGTAAAAGGCAACCACACATCAATGTTTCTCTCCTCTTTCTCCCTCTTTTCCCCTCCCTCAATAAATAAAAATAAAATCCTTAATAAGAACTGTACTGGATTTTAGGTAGTATAAAATATATGGGACAAAAGATATCAAATGTTTAATTGTTGCCAGTGGAAATTAAGCTCTTCCGTGAAACCATGAGAAAAGCATTTTAAAGTATGTACACATGAGAGATTGTGGTGAGGCATGGTTTATTTGGGTGGACATAGCAGCTGCCCCCTGAGTTTCTAGTTTTCCATGTTTGTCTGTCCTGCCATGGAAAAATTCCAACCTTGTCCTCAGCAAAAGCCAGAGTTTCCACTTTGTATTAAAGCTTAGTCCTTTCGGAGCTCACACCATCTGATGTGGGCTCCAGTAGATGCCACACCTGCACTCCAGAGTGAGAGAAGACATGTGAATGCACGGGGCAAGTGGCAGTCCTGAGCAAGGAAGAGACAGAGCTTCTTAGCTCTCTGGATTAATAATTAGCTTGGGTTTGAGATGGACCAGGTGCTTTTTCAAAATGACCAATCAACTTCCCAAGTTTTCGTGGGCTTTGGATGGGTTCATACCCCTAGTCAGACTGACAGTCCTCTTGGGTCATGCACCTCCTTCACACCATTTTGACTTCTATGGTGCATGTGCCTGCCTCCCCCTGCTATCCTCCAGGTAATCACGTATGGGAGGTGAGAAGGAAGGATTGTTAATCCCCTTGGCAGAGAAACGCTATAGTCCTTTGGATGTTGAAGCTGTAGCTTCTTGGTGATGCACACAGATACATACACCCCAGTTTATTCCATTTGCACCCCTTTTCTTTATTAATAATTAACTAAATAGTGATGGCAACATAATGATTGATTGGAATTTACCATTATTCACAGATGACAGAATTGCATAATAGAAAATTCAAATGAATGTACAAAGTATACTGTAAGACATAAGTAAAACTATGAAGGTTGCCAGATGTCAGGAAAATATAAAAAGCTGTATTTCCATGTTACTCTGGAAGCAGATAGTATCAATAATATAAAATATTTATAAATAGAATAACTGAGTGATATAAAAAAGATCTTTATACTGATAACTAGAAAACATCTCAAAGAAAATGTAAAATACTTAAATAAATCTGGAAATATATAATGTTGATGGACTGAAAGATTCAATATTGCAAAGAATATTAATCCTGCTATTTAATTCACTTTAATGAAAATCCAAGTAGAGTTTTTTGAAATTGTTCATTAAGTTTATGTGGAAATGCAAATCAAAGACCTGATAATAGCTAAGACAACCCATAAAAGTAAAACAAAGTGAAAAGACTTACTCTACCAAATATCAAGACACCACAAAGCTGTATTAAGAACAATGGTACTAGCACAAGGGTAGACAAATAGCCCAATGGAAGAATGCAGAGTCCAGAAACAATTTAAAAATTTTATTTATTTATTTATCTTTAGAGGGGAAGGGAAGGAGAGAGGGAGAGAATATCAATGTATGGTTGCATCTCCTGGGTCCCCTGCTGGGAACTGGCCTTCAACCCAGGCATGTGCCCTGACTGGGAATTGAACCTCGATCCTCTGGTTCGCAGGCCCGTGCTCAATCCACTGAGGTACACCAGCCAGGGCCAGAAACAATTTTTGACAAAAATTATAGCTATTAATAGTTGTAGCTATTAATATAGCTATTAATGCAAGATGGTTTTAAAAAGTATTTTTATTTTCAACTAATTGTAGATTCATGACAGGTCATAAAAATAGAAGAGACAAGTCCTCTATCAAGGCCGCGCGGTCTCCCAATTGGTTATGTTTTATGTAACTATTAACATAATATAGCATCAACAAACAAGACATTGACATTGATATAATCAACAGAAAGTAAGATTTCAATAGTTTTACATGCGCACATTTTTGTGTATGTAGTTTTACTATATGTGTAAATTGAAGTTACCACTGTCGAAAAATGTTTGAGGATGTTTCTATTTCTTCTTTCAGTTATATCAGCCTTCTTTCCTATATTTTTAAGATACGTTGTGTGGGGCATACAAAATGTTGTTATAATTCCTTTGTGATGGAATGATCAATTTGTTATTATGTAATCTCGGTCTCTAGGAATTTTCTTTGCTCTGAATTCCATTTATCTATATTAATAAAGCCACTCCTGCTTTCTTTTGATTATTTCAATAACATGTTTTTCTTCATCTTTTTTACTTTTAACTTATTATATCATTATATTTAAAGTGAGTTGTTTATTTAAGTTTTGATAAGTTAATGTGTAAGTCTACCATTTTATTTAATCCTATTTTTTTCATTCCTGTTTCACTTTACTGCCTTCCTGTGAGTTACTTGACCATTATTTAGAATTTCACTTTGATTCATCCTTAGTGTTTTTAGGTATATATTTTTATTCAGGTGTTTTAGTGGTTGCTGTAGGTATTATATAATATATATGTAAGTATATACTACATAATATATGTAACTAGTCACAAATGACTTGTGTCAGCATTTTACCAGTTTGACTGAGTGTACAAATATTACAGTAGTGTTAGGAACCGCCCTGCCTGGTTTCAGAAGCTATAAGCCCCCATAGCTAAGGCTGAGTAGAGACCTTGGGACCATAAGCCACTAAGGAGACAAAGCTTATCTCCCTGGCAGGGGCACTGTCTCTGCCCCTTTTATTTCACCCTGCCTGGCCCCCAGTGCATGACCAGTTAGCCACTGGCAGGTAAGATTCCTCAAAGAAGGAATGACCTAAGACAGGCATGGTCATGGGGGGCCCCCAGGGAAGGACTTGGGGCTATAGCAAAAGGAGGTGATAGACTCTTACCCCTCAGCTTTGACAAAGCCTGAGTCCTCATTCTGTCTGCAAAAAGTATCCTAATCTCTTGGCTGCCTTACTTCCCCTGCCTGACTTAAGCCTGAAACAATGACAGGGGTGGTACAGCCCTGTGCTGGACAGGGCAGGTTTCGTGGGGCAATTAGGCATAAGAAAAAAAGCATAAAATCTTGTGAAATCTGCTTTGCTAAGAATGATCTCAATTTTTTTTAATTAAAAAAAATTTTTAAAATTTTATTGATTATGCCATTGCAGTTGTTCTATTCCCCCCTTCATTCCCCTCCACCCTGCACCCCCGCCCCCACCATTCCCCCCCTTTAGTTTATGACCATGTGTTTCAAGTTCTTTAGATTCTATATTTCCCCTACTATTTTTACCCTCCCCCCTATCTATTTTCTATCTACGGCTATGCTACTTATTTTCTGTACCTTCTCCCCCCCTTTCTCCTCCTCCCACTCTCCTGTTGCTAACCCTCCATGAAATCTTCATTTCTATGTTTCTGCTCCTGATCTAGCTATCCTCCTAGTTTGCTTTTGTTTTAGGTGTGGTTGTTAATAACTGTGAGTTTGCTGTCCTTTCACTGTTCATCTTTTTTATCTTCTTTTTCTTTGATAAGTCCCTTTAAAATTTCATATAAGGGCTTGGTGATGATGAACTACTTGAATTTGATCTTATCTGAGAAGCACTTTATCTGTCCTTCCATTCTAAATGAAAGTTTCACTGGATAGAGTAATCTTGGTTGTGGGTCTTTGGATTTCATGACTTGGAATACCTCTTTCCAGCCCCTTCTTGCCTGTAAGGTCTCTTTTGAGAAATCCCCTGACAGTCTGATGGGAACTCCTTTGTAGGTGACTATCCCCTTATCTCTTGCTGCTTCTAGGGTTCTCTCCTTCATTTTAATCTTGGCTAATGTAATGATGATGTGCCTTGGTGTGTTCCTTCTTGGGTCCAACTTCTTTGGGACTCTCCGAGCTTCCTGGATTTCCTGGAAGTCTATTTCCTTTGCCAGATTGGGGACATTCTCCTTTATTATTTGTTCAAATAAGTTTTCCACTGCTGGCTGTTCCTTTCCCCCTTCTGGTACCCCTATAATTTGATGTTGGAACATTTAAAGATGTCCTGGAGGTTCCTAAGTCTCTCCACATTTTTTGGAATTCTTGTTTCTTCATATTTTCCTGTTTGGTCATTTTTTTCTTCCTTCTGGTACACTCCCTTGATTCGAGTCCCAGTTTCCTTTTCATCACTATTGGTTTCCTGCGCAGTTCCCTTCATTTCAATTAGTTTAGCCTCCATTTCCCCGCTCTGACCCCGCCCCCATATACAGCATCACAATCCAGCGACCTGGGCGGCCCCGCCCTGGTGAATACCTAAGGCTCTGCTCCTCATACTTAATGGATGGGAACAGACCAAAAATGGCTGAAGAAGATCTCAAAGCTCCAGAGCCCATAAATATAAGCAATGAAGAAATAGCAAAACTTTCAGATGCACAGTTCAAAACACTGGTGATCAGGATGCTTACAGAAGTGGTTGATTTTAGTCACAAATTAGAGGAACATATGAAGGCTAAACTAATCAATTTTCTGATAAGGGTCCGAGCAGGATCTGAACTTGTTTCCCAAAGTTTTTATAGCCCTTTAGCTAATTGACCCTGATTCAGAATAAACCCTCAGAGTTCTTTGTATGTTATCTATTGTTTGATCCTTAGTGCCTGACAATGACTGATGAGCTTTACCTGTAGTCCTGTACAAAACGAACCCAATAAAAGCCCATTGAGGAAAAGGCTCTTGGCCCTTTTCCTTTGAGAGATTGGCCACCTTTCCTCCCCAGCAGATCATGTCTTGGTAAACTTATTTTCATCTGTGGTGGCGGCAGGGGTTAGGGGGTATGTGAGCGGAGCCCCCCACAGAGTAGAACCTCTTATCTGTTGTCTTGTTTTCACTTTCTTAGTTACTTGTGGTCAAACATGGTCCAAAATAAAGTGTTAAATAAAAAATTCCAGAAATAAACAATTTGTAAGTTTTAAATTGCATGGTGTTCTGAGTAGCTTCATGAAATCTTATGTCATCCTAAGATGTGAATCATCTCTATGTCAAGTGTGTCTGTACTGTTCATGCTACCTGCCCATGACTCACTCAGTGGCTGCCTTGGTTTTCAGATCTACTGGTGCAGCATTGCACTGCTTGTGTGCAAGTAACTTTTATTTTACCTAATGGCCCCTTATACGTGGAATGTAAAGAACAAAATAAATGAACAAACAAAATAGAAAAAATGTCTTAAAAATCTACATACATAAGAACCATGTTAAGACAATGGTATAATTTTTGCTTCAAGTGTCAACATAATTTAGAAAACATAAAAGAACAGTTTAGTATATTTACCCATATTTTTACTCTTTGCCTTTTTGTTTCTTCATTACTGATGTTGCAAGAGTCCTTGTTTTATCATTATTTTACTGTTTGAAGATCTTTCCTTAAATATTGTTTTAGAGTAGGTCTTCTTATGACAAATTACCTTAGTTCCTGAATATGAGTATATTTTAATTTTACCTTCATTCCCGAAGTATATTTTTCTCTGTGTAGACTTCTTAGATGAGTCTTCCTTGAAACTGACACTGAAAGTAAATGAAAAATGTTGTGCCACTTCCTTCTGGCACCCATGGATCTGGGTGAGAAATTCGATGACATTGAATTTGTTGTTCTTTTAGCTAATGTGTTATACCTTTTCAGCTACTTAAATTTTTTTTCTTGTCTTAAGTTTATGAAGTTTTATTATATTGTATCTTGGCTTGAAATTCTTTAAGCTCATCATATTTGGTCATCTCTCAGGTGTATTGTTTATGTCTTTACCCAATTTTTTTCTGCCCTTCCCCATCTTTCTCTATTCCTTCTGGAGTGCCAGTGCTATGAACGTTAGATGTTTTGTTATTGTCTCATAGATCCCTGATGCTCTGTTCACTTCTTTTCAGTCCGTTTTCTCTGTTGTTCAGATTTGGTATCCTATTGCTCTAGTTTTGATTCACTGATTTTTTTCCCCCTTTGTCACATTCATTCTGCTATTGAGCCCATCCACTGAGTTTTAAATTTTTATTAAGTTTTTCAGTTGTAAATTGGGCCAAGGAGGATGACGGGCAAGGAAGAACATTTTACTTATTTATTTATTTATTTATTTATTTACAATATATATTTTTATTTTATTGATTATGCCATTACAGTTGTTCTATTTCCCCCTTCATTCCCCTCCACCCTGCACACCCCTCCCCCACCACTCCCCCCTTTAGTTTATGACCACGTGTCTCAAGTTCTTTAGATTCTGTATTTCCCCTACTATTCTTGCCCTCCCGGAAGAACATTTTAGAAGGAAAAGATGAGGTCAAGAAAAAACAAGGAACAAGTGAACCCCTACCATCCTTAGTGAAAAAAATTTTCTGACCTCCAGGTTAGCAGCTCTTCATTAATACCTGCTCTCAAGATTTCAAAGTCACCCTGAACCAATGATGACTGTGTGGGTCCCATTCTTCTACTTCCTGAATAGAAATGTTCATTGTAGTTGTCTCTGTGCTAGCATTAAATGTTGTTTCTGTGGAGGAAACACACAGTCACATGGCCAAGGGTATCCACAACCAACCCTTTTGAAAAAATTGTTGCATATCACTCAATGTTATGAGACTGATTCAGCAACTGAGCACTATTGTGTTTTATCCTTTGAGTGAGGCCTTGAATTTGTTCTACATATGGAAGGAAAGGGATAAAATAATATTTGATGACCACTAAAAAGGTCTGTAGTAGAGACATTTAAGGTAAGCCCACTAAGGTCACTGGACTAATTCTCGCCAGACAGATCCGTGTGGGACTGGCATATATCACCTTATGTCTGATCATAACACTCCGGTAGAGCCCTCTAGCTTTCTCAATGGTGACTCTGAAGAACAAATGTTGATATGAAAGAACCAAGATGTAAACAGCCCAAAGGCACTGCATGGAGAACAGGTGATGTGGAGAGTAGTGTGAGTGAGATGCTAAACCTGGGTTGTTTTAAAACTTACCTGTATGCTGAGTGAAATAAGTGAGACAGTGAAAGACAAATACTGTATGATCACTTATATGTAGAATATTAAAAAACCCACATCATGATACAGAGAACAGATTGGTGCTTGTCAGAGTTTGGGGGTGGGGAGTAGGTGAAAGGGTAAAGGTGTTCAAAGTGTACAAACTTGTGATTACAAGGTAAACAAGTTTATGGCTGTAGAGTATAGCATTGTTAGTATAGTTAACCATTTTGTAATACACATTTGAAAGTTGCTAGTTGCTAAGAGATTTGATGTTAAAAGTTCTTGTCACAAGAATACAACTATGTGAGGTAATGAACTTTAAATTTACTGTAAACATTTTGCAATAGACACAGATATTAAATCATGATGTTGTATACTTTAATAAAAGGTTATATGTTAATAAAAAATAAGAAAGCTTGCATGATTTCAAGGTTTATTTGTTAACACATTGTGGTCTACCTTTTCTGACATTTATAGAAATAGATATAAAATGAGGTGCCTAGTTCTCCTCAATCTACTGATGATTCAGTAGTACATGGCAAGAGAAACACCTGCTGTAGACTTAGCTAACAGTTAGCACTTCTGTTTTTGGCCAAGATGCAGTGACAGGACTACACTGAAACAATAAACGTAAAATACTTCTGTAAAAAAGCAGTAGTCAAGACCTATGACATCAGGCAATAAAGACCAGTGATTTAGGAGAGGAAGGAAACCAACAAAGTGAATCTTATAATTGCCCAGGCCATGCTGGAATACCAGAAAGGAGAGACCTCTGCCTCCAATAGCAGACTATTGATTAACACACACATATGAAGAATATATCCAAGGCCAGGGAATGAATCACTCAAAAGGATAAGAGCATATTACCTAATACTTACACACTACTGGGAATATTGCCTCTACCCACAAGCGGGATTGGAAAAACTCAGAATCTTGGGGATTGTGTAGAGTACTCAGCAGGATCTTTCTTTAATAGAGGGAGATAATTATCCCTAGCCTCAACCACTATTTTTGTCCTGCGTTACAAATTAAAAAAAATAGACTCAAATGGGTCAAAATGTCAATTAACATAAATCTATGCCAGACAAAATATCCCCATGCTGTATGTAAACACACACATTTTAAGTCTAGGCAAAGATCAGCTTCAAGATTTCCTTCCTGATTCCCTTCTAACACCACTTCGCAGGAGACAGGTCAGCCAAGGTGTGAGTTTATAATTAAGTGCTGAGCGAATTCATACAAATGCGTTCATAAAATTAATCACCAAGATGCCTTAGGATGAACCTAGTAAGACCCCAGCCCGGTTCTTTCTCACCATGTATTTCATATCGGCCGCGGGGGGCTGAACTTGGCCACGCATTTCGTTGTGAGCAGCGACACATTGTTCTATGAAACTCTCGTCGTTGATGGATGGGACAGTGAGAGACAATTCACTGGCTACCAGACAGAAACTTAAAGTCCATAAGCAACATAACTCACTCCTCAGAACCATGGCGAGACGCAAAGGATGCCCCAGCTGCACGGATCCCTAACGGTCAGGCCAATCTTCCCGGCCTCCCCGGACCACGCTCTCAGCTGGCTGCGGCCTCCCGCACAAGCTCGAGCCCAGCGCCTCCGGTGCCGCAGCCCCAGCGGGCGACCAAAAAGCCGCGGGCTACGGAAGAAAAAGCCTTGAGTGGCTCTCTGATGCAGGGTTTAGACCATCCCGAAGGCACTTTCTGCGGACCTCATCCGGAATCACTGCGAAGGGCGTCTGGATGTTAATCAGGATTGCAACGCGGAGACAGCACTGCCTTATGTAAAAGAGGTCACGTGCGAGAAGATGCTGATAATGGACCAGGCCTGCGCAAAACCCTGTATGTTAGTTTCACAGACTCAGCTTCCCTGCATTATTTTTTTGTTGTTTAAAAAAACTTCAACATCCTATTGCCTGTTTCCTCAGAGATGGTGGGTAAAGTCAGAATATACTCTATGACACAGCGTCATCCTAAATTACTATTTTGTCAAACAATAATTTAATAATTTGCTGCTTGTTTTCTTATCTGAAGAGACTGTCTAGAAAGATAAAACATAAACACGTGGAAAGTGTAGCCAATTATTCTCCTGTACAAAAATCTTCTCGAAATTTAAGTTTGAAACAGTCTTATGATTTTGGTGACTAGAAAAGTTCAAATAAAAAACTGCTTTGATTGGGCCAAAATCTAGGACCAAGTGCATTTAATATAAATCAACTTTATTTGGCTGAATATTTGAAGTCCATGCTATCATTTACATTGTTTACTACAAAGCCTGTATCTTTCTGTGACAATAAATGAAATTTTTCAGTATTTCTGTGTTTCGAATAATTTTTTATTTGATGATTTCAGGTCATTGACAGTGCCATATAATAAAAGTGGACACATATTTACAAGTACTGACCCTCATAGTCAGCTAACCTCCACCCGGGGGTGGGGCAAGGAAGTTCGAAGACACTATTCATCATTTTTTAATAGAAAGCAGAAAATTAAGTTATACAGTGGAACAATTACAAGTATCCTAATGGAAACTCTACTGAACAATGGAGAAAATGTTTCTGGTTTGCTCTCTGCTGATGGAGAACTGCACTGCCTGTGACTTGAACTTCACATCCACAGCGCAAACCGAGCTTCTTTTTTTTATTATTAATTTATTTTTTATTGATTATGCCCTTACAGTTGTTCTATTCCCCTTCTTCATTCCCCTCCACCCTACCCCCCCATCCCCACCATTACGCCCCTTTAGTTTATGATCATGTGTCTCAAGTTCTTTAGATTCTGTATTTCCCATACTATTCTTGCCCCCCCTATTTTCTATCTACTGTCTATGCTACTTATTTTCTGTACCTTCTCCCCCCTTCTCCTCCTCCCACTCCCCTGTTGCTAACCCTCCTTGAGATCTTCATTTCTATGTTTCCACTCCTGATCTAGCTGTCCTTTTAGTTTGCTTTTGTTTTAGGTGTGGTTGTTAATAACTGTGAGTTTGCTGTCCTTTCACTGTTCATGTTTTTTAACTTCTTTTTCTTAGGTAAGTCCCTTTAACATTTCATATAATAAGGGCTTGGTGATGATGAACTCCTTGAATTTGATCTTATCTGAGAAGCTCTTTATCTGTCCTTCCATTCCTACAAAGGAGTCCCCATCAGACTGTCAGCGGATTTCTCAAAAGAGAACTTACAGGCAAGAAGGGGCTGGAAAGAAGTATTCCAAGTCATGAAATCCAAAGATCTACACCCAAGATTGCTCTATCCGGCAAAGCTTTCATTTAGAATGCAAACCGAGCTTCTGATACTCCACACCCCAATCCCGATTCTGCCCCGTCTTCCCCATCTCAGCTAATGGCAGCTCCATCCTTTTGATTAATTTATCAGGTCCCAAACTTTGGAGGATTTGGTCCTTTAGCAAATCCTGCTGGCTTTGTATTTTCAGACCTTGGTCACTGCTTCCCACTTAAAATGGCCCCTCCTCGATTTCATGGATAATTGCAATAGCTTCCTAGTGGAACTTCCTGCTCCCACTTCTAACACCCCATAGTCTTTTCTTAAGACAGCAATCGGAGTGACGGCAGACAGTCTTTCATATACTTAAATATTTTGAGTGTCTTCTGTGTACCAGAGATTCTTCTGGAATTATCACCATTAAAAAAAATAAAAGCAAACTGCCTTTCTGGAATTCCAAGGAGACAGACAATAAATGATAAGCATAATAAATAACTGCTATAGTATGATAAAAAGGTGAAAATATCTATGGACAAAATAAGTTCATGCTCAGGAGTTATGGAACACACGCCTGTCACTTCCTACTGGCTCTTTTGTGCTTTATGTTTCTCCATAACCCTATCCTCACATATGATGTAATTTACTTATTTATATTGTTAGCATCTCTCCCCTCAGTTGAGTGTAAGACCCATGAGTCAGGGATTCCTTATTAATTACTTTTTCTTACTACTGTATCCATATCATCTCAACAGAGGAGTTCAATATTTGATGAACAAATTAATAAACAAATCCTTTAAGATTCCAATCAAATGTCATTTTCTTATATGAAGTCCTCTAATTAGAAGGAATCTCCTGTGATTCAATCAATTCATGTTCCTAGATCTTATTACTTTATTTTATTTTCCTCTTATATTAGGATTATCCAGAAAAACAGATGCACTAGAACACATACCCCTACATACACACCCACACAGTGATTTTGAAGAAATTGGCTCACACAATTGGCTCAGTTTGGGGGGCTGGCTAGCTCAAATTCTGTAAGGCAAGCTGACAGGCTGAAAATTCAAGTAAAAGTTGATGTTAAGAACTTAAGTTGATGCCTAGAAACTCAGACAGAATTTCTACATTGCACTGTGGAGGCAGAAGTGCATTTTCTTTAGGAAACTTCAGTCTTTGCTCTTAAGTTCTTCAACTGATTGGACGAGGCCCACCAACACTATGGAGAGTAATCTGCTGTATTCAAAGTCTATTGATTTAAATGTGAATCACATCTAAAATTTATCCCACAAAACTTCTAGACAGGGATTTGAACAAAGAAGTAGTATCTTTATGCTCAGTTTTTCCGCATCCTTTCTTTCTTCATTGCGATTTGTTTTCTATAAACAGCCAGATTATTCCTTTTAAAGCATTAGAGCCTCTCTTTTCCAAACCCTCTAATAACTTCCTGTCATATTTATAAATTTAAAGTTCTAATTATGTCCTGCAAGTCACTAAAAACTTGACCATGGCTTATCTCTGGCCCCTATGCTACATTTTTCCCTGGCTCACTTTGCTCCAGCCACATCTGTCAGCTTGACAAGGATGCTCTCTCCTTAGGCCTTTTACCTTTGCCGTTCCCTTTGAATCCCCCTCAGTAAAGCCATACCTGAGTACACCACATCCCCTACCAACTGCTACCTGACGTCATATTATTATTTATTTATTTATTTATTTAATGGTTGTCACCTCTGTTACATTGTAACCTTCTCTAGAACACTGGTTTTGTTCACTTCACTGCTATTTATATATAGTACTAGATCTGGTACTGACCCCTTATGCCCTCAAAAAAATTTGTAAAATGAGTTAATGAAGAAATGAGCACTCTTTAACTTTCCAATGATGTTGTATACAAATGTAAGTTTCTTTAGAAACTATATCTCATTATATAGTAGTGACTCAGCAAATATTTTAAACTCAGCTTAGAGGCCAATATTAAGCAGACTTATGTACTTTTACTTTTTATGACACTGGATGTATTTCCAGATAGTAGGTGTTCAATAGATGTTTGTTGAGATTCAAATGCAAATTATTTTGATACTGAAAATAATATAGATTAACAGGGTTAATTTGGTTTCATTTTGTGTATAGAGAATTAATTGGCATAATAACAACAACTTTTGTAAAGTAATGAAGTGTATTGTGGCAAAAAAGTATAATTTATACAACCAACACATAATCAAAGATTATTGTTTTTATACAGATGTTTTAACACAATAACTGGATTAGATAGATTTGTTTTATTTAGACCATGTTCCTAATTGCTTGGAGAACCCCATCCCAAAACACCAAAGCAATTTAGGGGTAGTACGCCTAAGTGTCAGAAATAGACAAAGATATTTTATTTTCTTGAATATCTGTTTGTGGAATGGGCAATGTTGGTTGGGTACTAAAATTTTGAAGGTCTTTGATACATTTTTTGAAAGTTGAAGTTTAGTTTTTGTTTCATTATTACTTTTCAGCTCATTTTTGCTTTTCTTTCTACGTGGGGATAATGAGTAGATAAATTTTATGGCATGCAGGGAAGTCACGATCTTATAACCATTAACTTTACTGTTTTAATGTTTTTAAAATGTATTTGTCTTTTTATTCTCAAACTGGCTCCAACTGGGAATTTAAATACATATAGTTTGAGGACATTTTTCCATTGTTTTTAGGGAGAGAGAGAAAGGGGAGTGGCAGAGGTGAGGCGGGGCGGGCGGGGGGGAGAGAGAGAGAGAGAGGTGACATGAAACATCCACTGGTTGCCCCTCCTATGCATCCGGACCGGGGACAGAACCCGCCCGCACTCTAGGTATGTGCCCTGACGGGATGAACAGGCAACTTTTCAGTTTACGAAAGACGCTCCAACTAACCAAACCACTGGTCGGGGAAGGAAGCTAATTTTGAAAAGAAACTACAGGGTAGAGAAGGACTTGATTTTGTGGGAAGAGAACTGGACTAGGCTTCAGATAGTCTTAGTTCTAGTTTGGGTAGCTGATATTTACCCAGTGCGGTTCAGGAAAGTTAAGCATCTTAGAGTGGAATGGAACCTTAGCAATACCTCCAACCAGACGGCTCCTGTTATGGAAGAGGAGCTGACACCCAAAGACATTGTGTGCAGAGCAACCAATGAAATGGAGGTTTCCCGACTCCTAGGTGTGTTCCTATTACATCAGCATTTTAATTTGTAATCATAAGTCATCATATATATTTGTGCATACATGCACATATAAATAAAGTAATAATCTATCTATGTCTATATATCTCTCTATAATATCATATGCAATCTTGTCTTTTAAATAATTGTTAGCTCCTTGAGAGCTCATGCTAAAATATTTTTCTCACCAAAACATCTGGGACAAGTGTAATTGAACAACAGTAAAAAATATTGTACAGTAAAAGAAAACCTCAATAAGTTAAAAAATCATTCTTGGAGCTGACACCTGGTAGATTCTCTATAAAATATGTTACAATAGAATTCACCTAAATGAAGAATTATACAACAGCCATCGATCCGGGCCTGGTTTTGGCCCTCTCCCTGCGCTGGAAGAGCTCAGCTGAGTGAGTTCGCTCCAACCCCACCCCGGGTTTTAGAAGCATCACGGAGCTAGGTGGGGAAGGTGAGGTTCCCTGCCTCCCCGGCTCCCACTGGGATTTCTTTTTCTTGGTGAGTACTTTTGAGGGGGCTGCAGGGTTTTGCCCCGCATGCTGGGGTCGGAGAACACAGCTTGAAGGAGGTGTCGTGGATGGAGCAAGGGATGGGCCGATCACTTTCTTTACTGTGGATTTGAGAGAAAGGTTGGAGGCCCAGGTGAGGCGCCTGTTGTCAGGCGACCTGCAGACGCAGGCCTGAGTGGGCTGGATCCTTTGCTGGGAACTGTCCCTGTTTCAGCTTGGCCTGTCTGCACGCGTCTCAAGAGGGTTTGTTGGTGGAATCGCCCCAGTTTATAGCTTTCCCAGTACTCCCACTTCGGACCAGGTCTTGACCCAGTTTAGGGAACCGAGTCTGGATGGCTGTCCCTTATGTCCCTTCAGATTATGAGACTGACGCGCTACCTACTGCGCTAAGCAGGCACCTCCTTGTGTCCCTGATAGGAAGAACCTGGAGCATTCCTTTTAGTACTTTTCCAGTACCATGGCCTCGAGGTATGATCTCAACTTTTGGAGGAACGATGCAGGGGAATTACTTTGCCTCATTTGAAATTATCAGTGACCCCAGGTTCAATTAAGATACCTGACTTTGTTATCACCTGGGTGCTGAGATAGATTTCCTCGGTCCCTGCCTGCCTGGAGCTTAAAATACCAAATAATATTTTCAAATCTCATTTCTTACTCCTTGATTGTGGGCTGGATTTGATCAGTTTACTCTTTGCTTTCCACTGTGCTCTGATTTGGTATAAGCAACAGTATAGCCACTAATATATCACTAATCAAGAGAAAAGTGTTGATAATTCAAATAGGAAATAAGCATTCTTAAAAAGTGAGAAAAGGGGGAAGTGAGTTTAATTCTTTTTGGTAGTGTTGAAGATGATAGGATAATGTTCACTGCATGCTAGCAATAACCTGTCATGAGTGGGAGCAGTTTGGGTGAAGACAGAAGCCATTGAGGTGGACCGGGAGATTTGAGGGTATAAGTTTTTTTGCTTTTCATATTGGCAAATTAATTATAGTGATTTAAAGTGACCAATAGCAATTCAAAGTGACTATAGTAATTACTAAGGTATAATTAGTTGTATGACTGATGTTTGGAAAAAAAATCACCTAGCTGATTGTTGCACACCCTTATCTCAACCTGGGTTTGTTGGCCACTAATCATCATGGCAAATACCAACAACAGCTCTTGTGATATGATCAAAAGCAAACAACAAACCCCTCTGCCCACCAAACCGATGACAACTTTAAAGAGTTGTTTCTCTGAGAAAGCTATCTGTGAAAAAAGCAAGCCATCTGTTGGTGTTGTAGTAGTATTTTGAAATCTAATGATTTGTTTTTTTTTCATAATGTCTGCTGTTGGTTGGTAAGTCTTCCTGACTTCCCCGGGTAGAATTCCTGTGTTAGGGAATGGGGTGTTTAGGAGAGAGGGCTTTGCAATGGGGTGAAGGGACTCATATGGATACATTAATAAAGAGTTGGTATACCTTTCAGGTAAGAAGATTCCATTGGACATGAAATAAAACTATTTTACATGTGATATTAATAATGATGTATTGAATGTTAACCATGTTCCACATGATACAGGAGGGTGAGAAAGGTACTAACATTAAACTCATTTTACATATTACATATATTGGCTCAGAAAAATTAAGTTCTTATCCAAGCTTATGTTATGGGAAAGTGTCAGAAATAAGGATTTTAATGTCAGCCTATCGGACTCCAAGCACTATGCCAGCTTAACTTTCCTTAAAAATAAAACAAACCAAAAATATCTTACTGTAAAAATAAACCCAAGTCTAATAATATAGAAAGAAAATATGAATGAATTGATAGACAAGAATGTATCATAATATGAGGTTGAAGTATGAAATAAAATACTCAGAATTTGGATGACAGATATTTATATGACTTATATTTTGTACATATTTCCAAGTTGATTATTTTGCAGGCATTTTTACCTATCACCTCATAATTACTAGTTGGATCATTTACTCCACTTTGTTCTTTGTATTAGATAAATATTTTCAACCTACTCTAGAAAACTTGAAACTCATAAAGATTTAGGAAAAGAATAAAGAAAGTAGAAACCATCTTGTGATGGAGAAGAGGTGCATGCATCAGTTTCCTGTTGCCTCTGTAAAAAGTTAACACAAGGTAGTGGTTTGAGGCCATATAAATCCATTACTTTATGGTTATGAAGGTCGGAATGCAGAATGGACCAAAATCAAGGTGTCAGCACAGGCGGTTGCTTCTGGAGAGGCTTCTGAGGAGAAGGCAGTCCTTGTCTCTTCTTGCTTCTAGAAACTACTCATGACCTTTCCTCCTTTTTCAAAGTCAGTGGCAAATGCCTTTGTTTCTCTGTGACCTCTCTTCCACCCTGACATCTTCTCTTTCTTGCTCTGATCATCCTGCCTCCCATTTATAAGGGCTCTGGTGATTCTGGCAGACCCACCAGTTAAACCATGATAATCTCCACATCTCAAAACCCTTAACTCCATCGCACCTCTGAACCCTAAACTTTGTCACGTAAGGTAACATGTTCATAGGGTCAGGTGATTTGATATGGACATCTTAGGGGGGCCATTATTCAGACTAGAATTTACCCCATAAATGTTTCCTCACATAATGTAATTGCTTCATCACAGTTACCTAAGTTCAGTGAAAGAAGTAAAAGTGACCACAGGATTTCTATGACATATTGTTATGTAATTTGTACGATTTACTTAAAATTAGGGTAGGGATTATTATATTTAATATATGTGTGTGTATATATTTGTCTTTTTCAAGGTATACTGCACAATCTAAACAAGAACCTGAATGGATTTAGAGGTTAAAAGAGTTGTCGCTTGTAGGAGTCAAACTCAGTCATTCTCTGGCAGAAAGAAGCCACTGCAAGTAGGTGTGCTATATAATTTCCCTCTTGTAGTATGAGTCAACTTTCTGACTCCTTTCTTGAAGTTTTCTGACTACTTATATTCACAAATATTTAAGATCAATATTTCCCTGATTTAAAGAATTGAACCTCTAAACTTGAAGGTAATCAGTACTTAAAAATTAGTAACTGCTTAAATTTAGTTTTATTTTAAAATATTAAGTTTATTGCTATTTTCTTACTATTACTTAAAAATTATCTGTGTATGTCTGCAGAAAATATAAAAAAATTAAAACAGTAGAAAGAAAAATAATATGAATATTTTAATTCATATTTTGTGTTAACTAGGTAGGAAGAGAATCTGGGCTTCTATTATTGTGACTTTTATTCTTTTCAACTTCTGTCATATACTGTTGTGTATATCATCGATTAAGGACGTTTAAAGCTACTTTGTTCCTCCATCCACCACATAATTGGGTATATATAAAGTTTAGTTTAGAAACACGTAAGAGTGATGTATATTTCCTTGCTGTTCTTATTCCAAATATTGATTGCCTACTGCTTGTCAGTGAGCCATGATAAATGTTTTCATAATTTATCTCACTTAACTCTTACAATAAACTTTTGAAGCAGGATTTATTTTTACCTGCTTTTAAATATGGAAAAAGTGAGGCGGACAGAGATAAGTGACTTGCCAGGATTTTGAACTTCAGTGCTGACTTCAGGATCTGTGTTAGTTCTGCCATCTCCCTTACTGATGTGGGCACCGGCCCACAGTGTCTGCGTCATTATGGATGAAATGAGACCTTCACACGGACTACCTAGTCCCGTGGAGGAAGAGGGCAGGCATGGCTTTTCTCTCAAGGGGAGCAAAAGACCTGACCCTTGCTGGGACCAACCGTCATTGGGGTTCTGCGAACATGACATGATGGCCCTCATTTACTATGCACATTGCTTTAGGTGGTTACCTTTTACAGAAAACAAAGGAGCCAATGCCACCTAATCACATCACAGAAGAGGGATATTTGCAAATGAGAAGGGCAAAAGTGAATGAACTGGTTACAGTGGTCCTTGGAAGGTTTAGCATAGTTTTTAGGAAGTTACTTTGCAGTGAATGTTTGCCACAAATCCAGGTGAGGGAGTTTTTAGCAAAAAGCAAGACTCAAGTGACCCAGGCACATAGCAGGCCTGATCCCCCACGGGAGAACCCCCACAGGGCGTGGGTCCTGTGCATCTCCCAGTGGGAGCTGGCCCACACTATGCAGAACGATCTCCTACACCTTATAATAAGGTGGTACTTTGGTGTGCTAATGTTTTACAATATTATGTGTTAAAACAAACTGAAGTGTTTGATAATGTGAATCAAAGCAGACTTCTTATTAGTCAAAACATCAAGTACAGTATTACATTCTTTCTCACTATTTGCTTATCATATTAGGAACCTTTTTCCTGGTTGGTAGTGAAAGCTCATGCTTTAAGTTCTTTAAAAGAAAGATTTCTAAAATTGCCTTTTTTTACTGCTCAAATAATATCTTCTTTTAAACTTAATGCCTTTATTTCCCTGTTAGAAACGTGTTGGATTTCTGGTGTTGGATTTAGGGGACAAGTTCGTGTTTTTCGTTTTTTCCAGAACTCTTGTTCCTTAAGAAAAAATAATCCCAGATGTCCAGGTTGTTGTTTCTTAGAGTTTAACACCAAAGTATCACAATTGTAGTTAACAGTTACCATTTCTAAAATTGGAAGTAAAAGAAATAATGCATGAATTTTTTAAAAAAAGAGTGGTACTTAATGCTTCAAATATAATTACAAAGATCAACCGATAAATTCATATGGGAGATGAGAATATAAAAAGTTGTTCAGACCTACTAATAATCAAGGGAATGAAAATTCACATAACGATATACCTTTGTGCCTCGATTAAATTGGGGAGGAAATGTAATATTGAGAGTACTCAGAAGTACAGTTGGTGTATTGCAAATTGGTGCCACATTTTAAAAAAATGAGATTGACATGTGTATTAAGCTATAGTAGCAATTGGACAATATTATTATTTCTTTTAATAATATTTTTTGACTATGCTGTTACAGTTGTCCCAATTTTCCCCTCTTTGCCCCTCTCCACCCAGCAGCTCCCATCCCCTCAGGCAATCCACCAACCATTGTCATGTCCATGGGGCATTCCTGTAAGTTCTTTGGCTAGTCCATTTCCTATACTGTACCTTACATCTCCATGGCTATTCTGTAATTATCTGTTTGTACTTCTTAATCCCCTGACCTCTTTACCCATTTCTCCACATCCCTCCCATCTGGCAACCATCAAAACCCTCTCTGCATCCATGATTCTGTCTCTGTTCATCTTGTTTGCTTAGTTTGCTTTTTAGATTCAGTTGTTGATAGATGTGTATTTACTGCCACTTATTGTTCATAGTTTTGATCTTATTTTTCTTAAGTCCCTTTAACATGTCATATAATAATGGTTTGGTGATGATGAATTCCTTTAGTTTTTCTCTTGTCTGGGAAGCTCTATATCTCTCCTTCAAGTTTAAATAATAGTTTTGCTGGGTAGAGTAGTCTTGGTTGTAGGGCCCTGCTTTTCATGTCTTTGAATATTTCTTGCCAATCCTGTCTATCCTGCAAAATGTCTTTTGAGAAATCAGCTGACAGTTTTATGGGAACTCCCCTGTAGGTAACTAGCTGCTCTTTTTTTCTGCTTTTAAGATTCTCTCTTCATCTTTAACCTTTGGCATTTTAATTATGATGTGTCTTGGAGTGGGCCTCTTTGCATTCATCTTGTTTGGGACTCTGTGTTTCCTGGGCTTGCATGTCTATTTCCTTCACCAAATTAGAGAAGTTTTCTTTCATTATTTTTTCAAATAGTTTTCCAATTTCTTGCTTTTTCTCTTCTCCTTCTGGCACCCCTATGACATGAGTGTTGAAATCCTTGAAGTTGTCCCAGAGGATCCTTACATTACCCCTTTTTTTTATTCTTTTTTCCATGTTGTTTTGATTGATTGTTTTTTTACTTTCTTATGTTCCAGATCATTGATTTGATTATCAGCTTAAGTCACTCTACTGTTGTTTCACTGGAAGTTGTTCTTTATTTCAATTAGTGAATCCTTTGTTTCTGACTGGATCTTTTTTACACTGTTGAGGTGCTCACTAAGTTCCTTGAGCACCCTTATAATCAGTGTTTTGAATTCTGCATCTGATAGACTGCTTATCTCCATTTTGTTTAGCTCCTTTTCTGGAGTTTTGATCTGTTCTCTCATTTGCGCCATGTTTCTTTGTCTGCTCATTTTGGCTGCCTCACTGTGTTTGTTTCTATGTACTAGATAGAGTTACTATGACTCCTTGTCTTGGAAACTTGGCCTAATATAGTAGGTGTCCTGTAGGGTCCAGTGGCATAGCCTCCCCCATCACCCATGCTGGGTACTCAAGGTGCACCCTTCTTGTGGGCTGAGTACATCCTCCTCTTGTAGTTGAGCCTTAATTGCTGTTGGCAGGTCAATGGGAGGGATTTACTCAGGCCAGTCAGCTGGAAGAATTGGCTGTGACCACCAACATCCATCCTCCCTGGAGGATCAGCTGTGCAGGGGTTGGCTGGTGATGTCTGACATGGTCTGTAGCTGTCCACTGGGTGCGCAGGCTCTGGGGTTTTTTGGGTGGTGAAGGCCAAGGTCAGCCCCTATCTGTATTTTGCTCAGGGCCATCCTGAGCTACAAAACAGTCTGAAATGGCTGCTACTTGTGCTGGGCTTGGAGATTCCCAGGTAAAGCAAAGCTGTGAATCTAGGCTGGCTGTTGCTAATATTGGGGCCTGGGACACTTATCAAGAGGTATGGGGCTTGGATGATCACTGAGGCCAGCTGTTGCCTGTTTGAGAGGATTTAGGAAGATGTGAAACATGAGCCAAGACCAGCCATTCATATGGAAAAGTCTCTGTTAACAGCTTGGGTGGGCCCATAATCTGGGTGGAATATAGTCTTAGGGGATCTCAGAGTGGGGAAATAGTGTTAGGCCAGGTTGATGGAGTTTCACGTATGGCACCTCCCTGCCAGCTCTGTGGCTCTGTTGGGGAAGGGTTCAGAGAAGAGATAATGGCTTCTGCCTGCCTTTCTGTTTGGGAAAAAGCTGTCCCTGAGTTCTCATCTTGGTGCAAGATGCTTCAGTTTCTTCCTCTATGCCTCTGGTGCCTTTCAAGCTGCTATACTGGTGCTGGAGCTCAGAGGGAGTGAGTCTGAGTAGGTCCATGTAAGGGTCCTTTAAGAGGAACTGCTTGAGTCTCTAGAGCTTTCTTCTACCAACTCAGGCCCCAGTGATTTTTGCAGCTAAAAGTTATAGGAAGTTATCTTTCTGGCACTGGAACTGTGGGATGGGGCTCTGGTTTATTGCTGTGTCTCTTTGCTTTTGAGATATACTTGCGAATTTTTCCCACCACATGTGGATATAGAACCAGATTGTTTCATGTCTCTGCCCCTCTTACCAGTCTGGTTGAATGTGTTTTTTTTTTTAATTTTGTAGTTGTCAGACTTACATTTAACTCAATTTCTGATGGTTCTGAGTGATGATTGTTTTATATTTTAGTTGTAATTTTGATGTGGTTGTGTGAGGAGGCAAGTTGTGTTTACTTATGCCACCATCTTGGCTAGCAGTCCTCAACTGAAAAATATTCTATAAAGTGTGGCACAACCTTTAGATAGAATATTATGTAGTCATAATAATAACAATTTTAAGTAGTAACAGAAAATAGCTTGAAAAAGATAGTATACATACCCTTACAAATTCATCTAAACCTATGTAAAATGTACAACGCAAAGGGCGAAACCTAATGTAACCTATGGAGCTGGGTGATAGTGGTGTGTCAATGTAGGTTCATCAGTTGTAACATATGTTCTACTCTAGTGGGGGTGTTATTAAATGGGGGGAGTTATGCATGTGTGGTGTGAGGGGTGTATAAGAAATTTCTGTACCCTACACTCCATTTTGCTGTGAATCTAAACTTGTTCTAAAAAACAAAGTCAATTAGAAAAAAGACAGGACACACATAATCCAACATCTGAAATGAGAGCCCAGGTAGTGTATATTTTTAGCTTTAACTATTTTGGCTGTGGAGTTGCAGCTGCTCCCCTCGGCTGTTGTAGTGGGAATCCAGACACCCTGTAGATAAATGAGCCTGGTTGTGTTCCCATAAAACTTCATCTACAGAAACAGCTGGGCCAGAGGTTGCTGACTCCTGGCCTTAGGGATTTATGAACTCTATGTTATTCTGGGTTGGCTAACACAATTTTGTATTCTGGATTGGCTTAGAAATTTATAAACTGTAAGTTATCTTTATTCTGATTGGCTAGCATCAAATTGGCTAGCAAAAAAGAAAGATAACTACCATTTCAAAAATATTTACTCCAATGACTTCAGAAGACTGTCTACAAGTCCATTAAAGCTCTTTCTGGGGAATAACAATGATGATGATCACGACTGTGACAACTACAGCTAAATTCTGTTTGGATTTTCTTACTACAATTGGATAATGTCATGGTGTTCCCACGTACAGTTAAGAAAATCTTTAATGTGTGATGAAAATGTACTGCTATTTTGCAGGATCTGGCACAAATTATGCCCTTTTAAAATTACGAACTCTTTTATTACAAAATCATAAGCATGTAATTCTGTAACCTAACAACATCACACTCAAGCGCACCATATCACATTTTAGGTGAAGTGTTCAAATTAAAACTATAAATTATTACACCCATACTATTACCCTACCAACCACACTCAAGTAGACCTTGCTTCTGCTGGACCCTCTGTATATTATTTTATTACTATGTAAAGTTAATTAAATATAACTAATATATTTTATTTGATTATTATATATTAAAATATACTTACATTGAAATAATCTTTTTGTGATTTTCTGTATCTACATTTTGACTGTTTATTAGGATAGTATTTAAAACAATGTCATATTAAAGTTGATACAGAGGCAAATTTGTTTTCTCTTACGCTTGTGGTCACAATGATGAAGCTCAGTCTTATATATCATCTCTATTTGCTATGAGAATCACAAAAATGAATAGTTAGATAATATTTCAGAATGAGCTGGGTAAATTATTTTCTGTTTTTATTAACTTCACCTTTCCCTAAGATTCATACATATTTCATACATATTTCTTATTACAGTGGCTAAGCTCACTGTAAGTTTCTGTTCTCTGCACAGTTTTGAGGGGGGCAATAAGACTGAATATTTACAAATATATACATGTATTTATTTGTCATTTCCTTGCTTAAAGTCTGCACCATTTTCCCCATTACCTTTAGGATGAGGTCCAAGTTCCTTTACTTCTATTACAAAGTAACAGCTCTGGCCGTTACTTTCTCACACTCTGGGTTTGTACCCTCTCCAAGGGCTCTTGCCTGGGGCTCCATCAGCAAAAGTTGCTCCTCTTGCTGAAGCAGTTCCCTGTCTTCTCTCTTCCTCTGGGTAACTCCCACTCCCCCTGCAGAGCTCCATATGTAAAGGCTGTTTTTGCTTTTGTAAATTTCAACAATTCCCTAGACGAGGTTGGGCATATATGGTATATGTAGCTGCTCTGTCATAGCACTTATTTTTCCCGTTATTGTCTGTTTGAGTGAGTGTCTTTCTCAGCAGCTGGACTGCAGGTAGGAATTATCTGTTAGAGGGGCCAAAAAGTCCATTTAGTTTTTTCCATAAAATAAGACATATTTTTCATTTACATCAATAACTTTATTGATTTGGACATTTTGAGTATGTCAGCTATCTCCTGCTATTGGCTTCTAGTAGGTAGATGACAGAGGTGCTGTTAACAAAATGCCCAGGATAGCCCCACAGCAAAGAATTATGTGCCCAAAATGTCAATAGTACCAGTGAACTCTGCAAACCACTTTGACATGTTTGGTCAGTCACTTCTCCATACACTGTACAAATCTTTTTTATTTTCATTTCAGTTGCATTTTTACCTCTCTTGAAATAATAAAACACAATATGCTGAAAATCTTCCTTCATCTTCAGTATTAAAATGGCTGCACAAAAATTTACCAGTTTTGATAAGTTTTTTTTCAGTGCATGATGATATGACAGCTGTCATAATACAATCTAACAAAATTGTTTAGAATTAAGTTAAAAGACCACTAAGCACTATAAGAGCCATGGTATGAAAAAAATGTAGCAGTTTTTTTTACCAACCCGGTATGTTGTTTATCTTTCTGTCTCTGTGTTTCAAGCATAGTTGGGAGGGACTTAATAAATATTTCTTATATAGTTCACTGAGAAAAGTTACAATTAGCCATATTGCATTGATTCATTGTTTATCTCTTAAAGTATAAATGAAGGGTAAATACTGATTCATTTTTTTTTAAATTAAAGCATGGATGTACTTCCAAATCATGGGCAATCCAGAATCCTCCTTCCTTTCCTGTGTAAGTCACTTTTTTTAACATTTGAGCTATTTAATGGGCAAATATTTATTGATAAGGATAAAAAGAAAGTGAAATATATATATATATATATATATAACTATGATTGTGAACTAGAGGAAAATTTATATGCATGTGGATGGCCTGAAGTTATTATGCCAAATTAAAGTAACTCTTTTATATAGGATGGTAGGATTAAGGATCATACTTCTCTTGCTTTTTATTTTATTTAATATTGTTCTTATATATTCCTGAAAATGTATAAATATTGCTTTATTTAGAAAGTTCAGCTAAGTGCATTTATTAAAGAGATATATAAGATTTTGCATTTTGTAACTAGGATAGTCAAAATGAATTTGATTGGAACTTATTTTGAGGAATATGACAATTTTATCAATCTTATTAAAATGATTTTATTTTGAACTATGTATGATACATTGGCTGGTCATATGCTTTATATTTTTCCCTTTTAAAATTTGGAAGTATATGTTTTTATGTCCTTTGCAGTATTTTAGATTATAGGGAATCTTGGAAAATAGAAATTAAAACCAATAATTATTAAGTGGAACTACATGAAATTGGCAAGTATCAGAAATTTCTTGAGATTCTACATAATAGGTACCCATACGCTCCTCTAGGCAATGAACGGAGCTCGGTACAAACACTAGGTACAGGATGTCGTGTGTGTAACAACAGGCAGTTGTGTGCTGGCAAATGTTTTTAACAACTGGTTTTCTGAAACTGTACTGTAAACTTAATATAAATTTTAATTGTTAACTATAAATAATATTAAGTATATTTTAAGTTGATTATAAATTTTACAGATATAAAGGATATATAGCAAGAAATTTATAAATACTAAGTAATAAATCAAGTCCTGATTCATAGCATTTTCCAATTTCTGTGTAAATAATCCTATTGTGGTTGATTTCAAGCTATCTATGTAATAACACTGAACACAGATTTGGAGAGATGTATACCATTATCTTACTATACGGGTATATGTATAATAACCCCTAGGGCACAAATAATAGTGAAATATAACATCAGTAACAAGTAATGACTTTGAGTATTTATTACTTTTGTTTTTATATAACTTATTTAACTCTTAAGTTTATGTAATTTTATTTTTAATGATATTATGTTAACAATATGCTAAAAATTACTGAGCATTGAACAAAAGCTAGCACAGCTGGTAGGCATCAGCTCACCATTGACTTCAGTGTAACTTTTTATGAGTCAGCATATATAATTTTCAACTATTAAAGTCTTATTTTTAAAAGTTATGGTCTGCATAGATTATTTCTTTCAGGGTCCCACAACTCGATTTGGGAAGCCTTATTGACTCTGATGAAGAGGTAATTTTTATTTGGTATTTAATATAACAAATATTTGGATACAGTATTACATGTATTATAGCATATAATGTTTCATTTAATTTTATTTTTAGGATTTTTAAAAATAGATTCCACTTAGTACAGTGCATATTCATTTTGACCCACCAAATTTTATCTTCTGCTCTTGATCGGGTCACACCATGTCAAATGCCATATACTCAGCATCACCTAAATGAACTGGTTAGTGTTTATTTCTTATTACCAACATTCTGATTTACAGTGTGCATTTTAGCACTGTATTTAATCTAGAAATTTCATTAGGTTTAGTCTATGTTTTATTTAGTTTAAGTATTTTATATATATTAACATCCTAAACAATAATGTTGGTGAAATAATTTTACTTTGTTTTACATTATTTTCTCATATAGGAATGGTATTACTAAGGTGTCTTATTACTAAGGTGTCTTATAAAATTGGTAAATATAGGTTTATCCTAATAGGGAATCCAGGAATTTAAAAATTATGGCAGAATAGTAGATCAGATCTTGGTAGTTTGACAATATTCTATTTATTTCTTAGAAACTGACTCATTCTTTAGGTTACTAGTGTGCTATAGAATAAATCAGTATACTAACATCAAGGTATCTGCTTGGGACATATTTATACTTCACACAATATTTTATTATTTCACATTATGAAATAATGTTTTTTTATTTCACATTGTGAACACAAGTTCTGAGTATTCTATGAGTAGGGCTTACTTTTCTGTCTTTGTTAGTTTTACTCACCTAACTGGCTCTATTCATGTTCTCCTCAGTCTCACTGTGGATAATTGCACGAATAGTACCCTAGTCTGTATCATGCTGCAGTTTTTACCCTGAAGCTTTGCCTCATCCTTCTCTTCTGGGTTAGACTTGGATGTTATCAATAGTTTTCAGGGGTTGTACTGGCATTATAGTCCTGAAGTGACTGCCTCTCTCTGGGTCAATACATATCCCCTGGGTTTGTTTAATGCTTCTGGTTTCTCTTATTCTCTGGCTCATTATGTCTCATTTCCATGGAAGTGTGGCAGGGAACCAAAAAAATACCAGAAGATAGAATATCTTAATATTCTGGAAATGGCAATCAGTACTTCTCAGTATTAGTGATCTGTAATTCCTATGACGGTTTGGAAGATATGATTGACCATGGAGGTTTTGTGGGGCAAGAGGAAAAAGGCCTATCTAGAACTTCTAAAAACAAAGGAAAGTTGCTCATTGTCTTCTCAAATTATTTTAGAACCAGGGATGATTTTCACTGGGAAACAAGGTTCAGACTTACTGGCATTGGAGGCCAATGCCCATTTTCAGCAGTTCTGTCTGCTCTGATTGCTTAATGATACTGTACAGCTAAATGTTTTAACTATCACTTCTGTTGAGAACATAGATATTAGTGTTAAGGTAAGTGATAAACCTATTAATCTTAATAAGACAGATTAATAATTATTTTGATTTTTTTCTGGCAGATAGCATACTTTTTCTTTTTGCTTTAGGAGCAGGATGTTGTACCTGAAGATTTGCCAGCAACAACAGGAAATTATAAACAAAAATATCAGCAGTGCAAAACTGAAATGGAAGAAGGATATAAACAGTGTAGTCAGAGGAATGCAGAAAAGACAAAATCAAATACCGAACATCAACTATCTCCAAGAAACAAGATAGAGGACAAGGTAATGTATGAGGCTTTATAAAAAGAGCACACATATTGTAGAAACATCTTTTTTGGTCTAATATGCCTTGCTATTACTTATAATAAGTGTGCCTCAGACCATTTTAAATATTTTACTTAGATTAGCTTATGATTCATAAGAACTCTAAAGGATTATTATCAGCATTTTAAGGTGTGAAATCTCTTAGACAAGAGTTTCAAAAGCAAGACAAGTTTTCGTCAGTGATTCTCCTACTGGAACACTTTTGCCGCTGTTAATGGAACATCGGTATATCTTATAATCCGAGAAGAATGAAGTGTCTATCTCTTCAGGACCCCAGAGGACCTTCACCTCAAAGGATACACCCCCTCTTTTTCTACTTCAGCTCCAAATTTAAGTTTATAAAGGAGTGGACATATCCACATTCATTAACTTTACAAAGACTTAAATGGACAGTAATAGTTACAATAGTTACTACGTTGTATTTAATGCTTATTGTATGTTGGGTGCTTTTTTACGTGTTGGACATGTGTCATCTCATTTAATCTTTTTCTGTGTGTGTTTGCAAAGTAGTTACTATTATTAATTCCTGTTTTAATACCCATTTCTATGTGTGAACCAAGGCACGGCGGTCATCTAGCTAGAAAGTGGAAGAGCGGAATTCCACCAGGCAGTCTAATGGTCAGAGCTTGTACTGTTACACCCTACACAAATAACCACTGATGTGTTCAGTGGGTCTTTAATCCTTTTTTTTTGGTTAAAAACAAATATGCAAAGTATGTATATGAGGTTTGCTTGTTGTTTTCATGTACAGTGTGCACAAGAGGAAGAGGAAGAGGAAGGAGCGTTCACTGCTGACCTTACCACTCCAGATCGAAAGGCACTCTTACAGCAGCGCTACGCAGACAGCCCTTACCGTGCACAGCAGCTGGGGAGAAAATCTGACGCTGTAAGTTGGCAGAACATTTACTTAACGTGGTGGCCGGTAAGATAATTTGCCCTGCAAGATTTTACAGGTTTATAATTGCATAAATAATTTCAGCAATTGAATTTGGACTGAGGTGAACATTTATTAATGTGCAAATTGAGTCCTCATTTTTATAAATGATTGATGTTTGATATATTTACTGTGGAGAAATGAAAATTTTTAGAGTTTGTAAAAATTTTGTTTATAATGTTCCAAATTTTAATTGACTGCTATTTATATCGGTGGACTTATTTGGCACCAACCCTCCCCCAAAGTAGTCTGGTTATTTTTCCTAAGTCAGAAGCTAAAAAAACTAGAGAAATTCAGAGCAGTTAAAGAAAAGAACAGGGATAAAGTAAATGCTCTTTAAGAAGAGGGAAGCCAAACTTCCAAGTTAGACTCTCAATATTAAATATATTATATCTTTTAGAAAATCAATTATAGTGTTGGGTGAGTATTGCTTAGTCTGGTCCTGGTACAAATAGATAAAGACACCATATTTTTTACATTAAAATAAAATTTTATTTTTTATTCAATAGATGCACTTTAACGTTATGTTTATTTTTAATTAAATTTATTGGGGTGACATTGGTTAATAAAAATATAAGTTTCAAACATGTGATTCTATGATGCATCATCTTTATGTTGCATTGGGCGTCTACCACCCATCAGACCAAGCTGCTTGAAGTTGGAGCCCACTGGCCGCCTGAGACACACCCGGTGATTAAAATCTCAGGCACACCTGTAATGGATTGATGGAATACCAATGAGTGTTGGCTCAAAAGTTGGGAAAATTCTTGTTTAGATAGACCGAATAATAATAATGCAATGTGGATTTGGCCAGTTACATTTTCATTATCATTGAGGGGAGGAAGTTTAATATGGGTTTTATTTTGGTCATACTCATGCAGAATGACGGTCTTGTGAATTGACAGCCTTGTGTAATCAATCTCGACCAGGTGCACTGATGTTTTTCTGGATGTCCCAAGTCGTTAACTTGTCATAGTTCTTCTACTAAAACCACAAACGCATTATTTTCTATCCCTATTATTATCTAGATAGTTATGCTTAATAGAATAAGGAGTATGGCAGGATCATCCTAAAAAATAAAGCAGTTACTTTATAAAGCAAAAATAGTATCTCAAATGAAGTTTTATTGATGGGTATAAAGTTATACTTGAAATGCATATCACCAATATGTACTTAAGGTCCATTGGGTTATTGTTCTTGATATAAACCAAAGCCATCTGGGTATTAGTAGATATCTCTTTACAATTACTTTGTTAGTGGCAATGTATATAAATTCACTATCAAGTGTATTTCACTTAATTGTGGTAGTACTCATTTATCTGTGTTTTTGGAGGAAATGTTTACATAAGTTAACTTTGAGTACATTAAAATTAGTATTTATTTATTTTTAAAGTATAGGTGACAACTTTTAAATTTAATTTTAGTTAACCGGACAACAGAAGCAGTGAGTGTGTGTTTTTTTATGTTCATCTCTTCTAGTTTGCTTGACATTTTTCAGTGTTATCAGACTCTTTACGGCAGTTGATTTCTGCTTCTAATCAGCTTTATGTTTACACAGACCTCTAAGTCAAAGTGCCTGAGGGTGATTCTAACCTTCTCTGCAAAATGTAATCCACCATAAATGTCAACAGTTGAGGTGGGCTTTCTGCATGGGCTCTATATTTATTAATCTAACCTTTTTTGCTTGTTCTGGGTTTTACATCTGTGTTCCAGATGGTCTTCTTTTATACATAATTTCACATTTTAGTCAGTGTTCATTTTCTGAATCACTTTTTGATGTAAAATGTACCTTGCTTACCTGTAATTACACAGTTCTTCTAACTTTAACAAAATCATTAAAAGTCATTATGAAGTGTCGCTAGCTTAAGACTACAAGATGCCATTACATATTAAATTATATGAACTCTATATGGGGCATATTTGGATGTATAAAGTGTACATCTTAAATTTCTGCCTAACAAAAATCTAAATTCAATTATAGACTAACATTTATATAATTGTGCTCAGCTTTTCCTTGTTTCTTAGGAGTTTCTACCTTTTGTTTCTATAATACATCTTTAGTTATTCCGATATGAATTTTGTATCACTTTTAAATAGTGCACTCTCTCTAAACTTGCAAAGTCTTCATCTTAAGCAGCACTACTTTACTTGGTTTCATTTATTGAAATGATGGAGTGGAGACGGGTGACAGTCATTTACATTCTAGAGATAGAACAAGTTTGAATTCACAAGGAAAATGGGCACGGACTCCTAGATGGAGAGCAGGGTGACACCTAGTGATAGGGGAGGTGAGGGGGTGGAGGGACTGAGCAAAATGGAAAAAGACTTGTGGACGTGGACCACAGTGTGGGGACTGGTGGGGGGAGCGGGTATAAGGAGACTAAATGGTAATGGAAAATATACAATAAAGATGAAATAAAAATAGAACAAGTTTTATCTGACTTAATTTTTTTAACTAGTTTTATTTGCCCTTCAAAAGAAACATTTTAGTGATTCTAGTTACAGGATCGTCTAATTGGAATTGACTGACTACACCCCAGTCTGACGTGACTTAAAGTACAGTAGAGATAATTTTGGAAAAGCATACAATGTTATGAAGAGAGTTTAGTCAAAACGCTAATTGAGAAAAGTTGATCAAGGCTTATTAATGGAGTATATGTGTGGAAAATATTAGTGTCCTTTTAATAATGGGACACTTTTGTTTGTTTTTAGTTTCGCCACGGGGTTGAATGATTTCAGTTCGGTTTCAGCTTCCTGCACTGTGAATAGTTTAGATTTTAGGACTCTCGTGTTAACCATAGTGTCATTCTGTTTTACGGACAGTGAGATTTTCTTTATTTTCTCTTATCAGGAGATTGTGGCCGCTGAGAAGAAGAAACAGATTGTTGAGGAGCAAGTGATGATAGACCACCTGTCTAGGTGAGAGTTAGTCGGGTACCAGAGGTGCATCCAGGAAGTTTTCATTAGATATTTTTTTTATGGCTGACGGCCCGTATCCTTGGTCAGTGAAGGAGTGGCCAACTCAGGCATTCCCACACTTTCTCTGCTCAGTGCACTCATAGTGTTTTAATAGTTTTTTTTCCACAGTACTCCTAGGCCAATAGAAATACGCATCAGTTCCACTTATTAAATATTTTTGTCCAAACAACTTAATGAATATTTACTTCCTAACAATTTCATGGCTATTGGAAAAAATAATACACATAAATGAAAAGAAGGTATATATATATTTATTCTTAAGTAGCCATAACCACTTACTAATGGGGTGGATGCACCATCCTGGACACTGCACAGTATCTCCAACCTCAGGAATGTTTACGATACTGTTTACACACTCCCACTTTCTATTTCACATGGCACTTGCTTTTTATCACAGGATGGTAGAAAGCCCAGCTGTGCGAAGATGAGATGTCACTGAAGGGGTGCGTCTTACTGAAACTGTAAATGACTTTGAGCTAGTAATTCCTGTGGTATCTAATAAATATCAAATACTGTGTTTCTCTCGAAAATTAAAAATACCTTGCAGTGTCCCTGGGAAGTGTCCGGGGCATCCCGGAGATGACTTGGAATACAATTTGGGAACTGTGGGACTAACTATATGAATTGTAAAACATAATCTAAGTTTAATAACCCTTAAAAACTATATAAAGTTTTGGCACCTGCTTAGCTAGATTGCATGACAACATGTAAATACTGGGAGGTTTCAGAAGTAAGACTTAAGTTTAGCTTTGAAGAAAATGATTTCATTAGGTGGCAAAAAGAATGATATTCTACTGCATGTTTTCTGTAAATTGAAATAATTATTATAATCTCCAATGTGTCTCTTTTCATTATCTTGTGAACTCACTTTATTAATATTTCTACCCCCAACTACTCCGCCACAAAGTAATTATTCATTTAATACCTAACAGATATGTAATTCTGATAGCAGTGTAAATTTGCATTCCTATATGGGATTTTCCAAAACTGCTTACAAATATGTGAATGCTAGCACAATAGATTGTCCCACTTAACTGTCGAACTTTGCATTTTGCCATATAGGGCTGTAATCAGTGATCCAGAACAAAATTTATCCACTGAGAAACAAGAAAGTGCTTTTATCCTTCCAGATTCAAACATAGCGCCTCTTCGACTTAGGAAAAGAACACTACATGAAACAAAGTAAGATTTTATGTATATAAAGTTAGGATGTACTGTTTGTACATGTGTTATTTAAAATGTTACTTTGTGTCCAACTGAGAAAGTTTTTGCTTTTTTCTCTCTAAAGATAAGTGTATTTTTGGAGTTTAGACTCTGCTCATTCCACTTTAAGGTATTGGGATAAAGATTTCTAACCTTAATCTTCAGGTTTTTATTTGTGACTTAGGAGTAATGGCCACAACTTTAGGAGATAATGTGTATGTCCTTCTGTATAAAATATATAACATATTAACTTGGCATGGCTGGTGTAGCTCAGTGGATTGAGCGCGGGCCTGTGAACCAAGGGATCGTGGTTTGATTCCTGGTCAGGGCACATGCCTGGGTTGCGGGCCAGTTCCCAGCAGGGAATGCATGAGAGGCAACCATACATTTATGTTTCTCTCCCTCTCTCCTTCCCTTTCCTCCCCCCTCTAAAGATGAATAAATAGAAGCTTAAAGAAAACATATTAACTGAGACTTTGGTATGTACACAATACATAGTGGCCAAAGCTCATTGACACATAATATATTCAAAGTTGATGTTGTTTAAAAGTAATTATTCTTTTACATTTGCTCTGTAGTTTATAAAATTTTTAGATTGGTATAAATTTTCACAGTCTGTTGTAGTTCACTTTAATTTCTCAACATCACTGCCTGTTGACATCTAGCCTCAGTTCTAATAGACAGAAAATCTACCAGTTCCTGTTGTAATTCTTTTATGTTTTCAGACAGCTGTAATTGTTGGGCAGCTACTTTCTTAGAACTTTTATCTTTTTGTCTTATTTTCTTGAAGCTTTAGTTTTCATAACTTTAAGTATTTGAATGTATCATGTATTAATTTCTTATTGCTGCTGTAACAAATTACCACAAATAGTCTTCTAAAACAACACAAATTTATTCTCTTACAGTTCTAGAGGTCAGAAACCTAAAATCAGGATCTTGACAGGGTGCATTCCCTCTGGAAGCTTCAGGGAAGAATCTGGTTTTTTTTTGCCTTTTCCGCTTCCACCTGCTGCCTTCATTCCTTGGCTCTTGGCCTCTTCTCCCACCTTCAAAGCCAGCAGTGGCTGGTCAAGTCTTTCTTGTGTCCTCTCACAATGACACTCCTCTGTATCACAGGCACCTCTGCTTCCCTCTTATTAAGGCCCATGTGATTGTACTGAGCCTGCCCAGAAAATGCTGGATGATCTTCTCATCTCCAGATCTTCAATCTCATCCACAAAGTCCTTTTACCATATTATCTAAGGTAACATATTTACATGTTCTGACAGTTAGCACATGGACATCTTTAGGGGATCATCTCTAAATCTCTTTTTTAAGGTAAACTTTTATTGAAATAAAACATAGTCACAAAATGTACCCATTTTAACCCAAGCTTGTACAACTCAGTGGATTGAGCGCCAGCGAACTGAAAGGTTGCAGGTTTGATTCTAGTCAGGGCACATGCCTGGGTTGCAGGCCAGGTCCCCAGCTGGGGGTATGATCTATCTTTTAAACACTGATGTTTCTCTCCCTCTCTCTCTCCTTCATTTCCCATCTCTCTAAAAATATAAATAAATGAAATACTAAAAAAATAAAGTGTATACATTTTAGATGTATAGCATAATGAATTTTCACAACCAGAACAAGTTCCAGATGAAGAAGTGGGCTGGAAGCAGTACCCCAACCCCTCATCCCTGTGCTGCCTCCCAGGTGCTACCCACTTCCTCTGCCCCAGCAGGTTGGCCTCTCTGTCCTGCTGTCCATAGATCATAGCTGCCCGGTCATACACTTAGATGAAAGCATAAAATTTCGACTCTGCACCTGGCTGCTTTTGTTCAACATTAGGTAGTGTGCATTTTATTCATGTTATTAATTGTAGTTGTCATTTACTTTCATTGCTGTCCAGTATTTTACTGTTCAGCTATATTACAATGTATGTACAGGGGTTGATGGACATCTGGCTCTTTACGAATACTGCTGCCATGAACTTTTGTGTATGCCTTTTGGAGAACGTATGTACTCCTTTCTGCTTGGTGCACACCTAGAACTGGAATTGGTGGACCATTTAACATGCATATGTTTGGCTTTAAAAAAATATTGCCAAATAGTTTTCCAAAGTGGTTGTTGCCATTAACATGTCACCAGTAGAAGTAGAGGGTGGTATTTGCACCGTATATTTGCCTATGCTTGGTATTGTCTATATTTTTTAACTTAGTTCTTATAAGGATATGTAATAATTTTAACTTACATTCACTGGTGAATAATGAAGTTTACACGTTCACATATGTATATTGGTCATGTAAATTTATTCTTATATGAAACTTCTCTTCAAGTCTGTTGGGTTATCTTTTTCATACTGTTTGTGGAACTCCTTTATATTTTCTGGTTGCAAGTCCCATTCACTTACATTTTTGGACACATATTTTCCTACTCTGTGGTTGCCTTTACATTCTCTTGATCAGGTTTCTTAATTTCAGGTGGACTAGTTTTCCATTCTTTCTATTTGTTGTTAGCATCCTTTCTATCTTCTTTAAGAAATCCCTGCTTACCACAAACTTGTTGTTTCTCTCACTTATAATGCCATTCATGACATACATCAAGTTGTTGTAAATGCATGGTAGGTGTCTAGGCTTTTTCTTTGGTCTCATCTACCTGTATTTTTCTATGTTATATTCAACATTTTTTATTTTAATTAGTATTGTTTTTATTAAATACTTGCAGCTTGTTTATCTTCAGCATTGCCTTTGCACAATAGACCCTTTTCTCTTTAGTAGAAATTTTTGATTTAGGTAGTCTAGTTCTATGAAAAACTGTATGAGGATATTGATTAGAATTTTTGAGTTTGTGGATTTTACCCTCCCCTCTGATTAATTATTTCTAGAGGAAGAGGAGAAAATTCTGCTTCAAAGAGTCAGAAGCGGAAAATTGGCCCATGAAGTGCAGCCCTTCCTCTTGTGTTTCCCTAGAGGAACAGCTGCCTATGGCAGTCCACACTCTGCCCCACGCAGGAAGTTTTACATGACCCTCCCCGGAGGGAATGAGTGGGTCAGTCTCTTTAATTCTGATGTCAAGGACTTCGCCTCCTGTTGCTGCATTCTTAAGCCATGGTTGCCAAAGGTTTCATTAATAATAAAATTCATATTTTGGACCTGAGCAGCTTAATTCTTATTTCTGTATTGGTTAAAAATTTGGGTAGATTATTGGTGCTACTTATCAGATACCTAAAAGCCTAATATGGAACTTTCCATTATAATATAAATGGCTATTTTATATTTTCAAGGAGACTCTAGACTTCTTGAAGCTATTACTTCAGCCTATCACTGTTAAACTGAGTTCTGTTCACCTTTGAGAAGCAATATAATGTAGTAGTTATGAGCAAAGTTTTGTCTAGCTTGCCGTGTACTAACTGTATTATGGCTCTGTAAAATTTATTTATGAAATGGGATAATAATACTTCATGGATTTATTGCAAGCATTAAATGAACTAATACACATTAAAGTGACTTTAATAACTAGTGTCTAGGAAGTTCTCAATAAATGGTAGCTACTATTAGTGCTATTATTTTCTCAGCATTTAGAATTGTTTATGGCACAGAATGGGCATTCAATAAACACATTAATACTAATGGATTAAATTGAATCAAGATGTCCAAGCTTTTATAGCTCAAGTTTGTGTTCACAAACTTACTTGGTCCACTGACTCTTGTTGGCTGTATCTTACTTACTTTTCGTAGAGACCTAGCTTTTAGAGAGGCATAATGTTTCAAGATCCTCATGCCCCCATATGACTATTTACATTATTGCAATGCTGTAATACCTACAGTGAATATTATAAGACTGTTTAGGAAGGTCAATAAAGATATCACTGAATCTTTAGATTTTTTAGCATACAGAAGACAGTAGTAGAATGCCAAAGTGTGTGCGTTTGGGTTTTGCTTAATACTATTAAACAGAATTTTAAGAATTAGCCATCTTTGTGAGATTATTCACTGCTGTCTCAAGGCCATGCGGATTAAACAGCTGGTCTGTATGTCTCATAGCTATACCGATTTCAAGGCTAAAAACCTCATCTAACATTCTTTTTCACTCTTCTGTTATTTTGGTAAGGGATGTTTTGAGTGACCCCTAATTGAAAACCTGACTGATAGTGGCTTTAACCAAGTTGGGATTTATTTTTCATATATAACTAGCTGCTTGGGGTTGTCACTGGTTTCAGTTCAGTGGCTCAAAGATAGTGCTGCTCTGGGCTGGCTTCCTTGAGGTTTCATTGGCCTTTCTGACATGGTTGCTTGAAGGCCATAGTGGCTCCAAGCATCATGTCCCTGCCACGTTTGCAGGCAGGAACCCCTCACATGCCGCTCTCTTATCGGGACAAAGCACAGTCTTTCTTGGGAGTTTATGGACAGAACTGGGTCCCTTAGTCACCCTAAATTAAAGAGGCTAAGAAAACAAATTCCATGGTGGAAGGGAAGCAAGGGGAATAGGGCTAGAAATGCCTGTCGGGATATACTGCAGCAGGTTCAGTCACAAAAGTGCTGTCTTTGTTCAGTGCTTACTTTTATAGGACTGTGTCACTGTTCATTCTGCATAGAAGTTGCTCATGCTTATATACTATATTTTAGGGTTATTTCTTATATGTTGGTTACAGTGAACAATCTGAAAAAAAGAGGTTTATGCATTCATCCTAACACAATTTGTGCATTTCAAAATATTAACTTTTTTGTACTTTTATTGTTTATATCAAATGTATGTCACTTTAAAATAATTGTTGATTAATGTGTTTCTCTTTTTGTTATTGTTTATTCTATTAGAGTTGTCGTAATTTCCCTCCCTTTGCCCCCTTCCACCCACCCCGCCTTCCACTCCCACAGGCAGTCCCCACACCGTTGTCCATGTCCACGGGTCACTCATACGTATTCTTTAACTAGTCCCTTCCTTAACAGGATAAGAACGCATTCTACGTTAACCGAAAATGTGCTTTCTCATAAAGTTCAGTTTGATGGTAGGATCATATCAAGGTAATTATGACTTTATTACACTTTTAAATCTCAGGATTATAAAATGTGTTTTGTTTTCAAATAGAAGTAACAATAATGAGATTAGTTAAATTTATCACAAACAAGTGCAAATATGAACTTAGGACATTTTTGAGTAATATATGTAAGTTAATCTGTTACAAAAGTTATAGGAAGTATGAACCTAAAGAAAAGCATTTTAATTGGAAGTCATTTAAAATGTGATTTAAAATGTCTTTCAAAAAGAAATGTAGAAGTGAACTTTAAAAAGGTATATATTACTACTAGAAGATTTTAAACGATTTAAAAATTAACCATTATATAAGCTGATTTATATAACTTCATGTGATGGCTTTAGTAAACAGGTTACTGATAGATTCAAGAAGATGACTGAGTAGGTGATTCTTAAATCTCTTTCCTCAGTCTTACAAACTTCCAGTAAAACAAACGCTACTTGATAGTCTTTGTATATACTAATGGTAAAGTTTTATTTTTAATTATCGTGTTGGTTCAGTGATTTTAAACTTTCTAGGACCAAGGGTAATGCATGTATATCATTGAGTGGCTTCTTGCAAACTCAGCATTTTTAAAAGATCTTTCACTTTATCTTAAAAGTTTCTATCAGATTAGTCATCTGTATATCCATATTCACACCAGTGTAACTAATGCTCGTCTCCATCCAAATGCACCTTAAATCCATACGTGAGCAAGCCGTGGCATGTTTTCCTTGTGGCTTCTCCTATCCCTTGCTCTTGCCACACATTTGAGGGAGTTACTTCTTTTCCTCTTAGAAAACTCTTTGATATTCTTCCCTTTTTGTAGAAATGGACATGATGCATGCAGAGAGCTGGTTGGGTTCTTTTTTATTCACGACCAGTCCCTTACAATTTATGAATATCGGCAGTTTGGGAAAAACAGGTATGCCATAAAGCACCATTACGCCTCTCAAGATGATTACTTCTGAGAGAAGCTGAGTGACTTCACATTTTTTTCATTTAACTTCTAGAACAAATGTGCTTCCTTTTATTCAAAAAAACATTTATAGTCATCAGCGTGGACGAAGAAAAGGAAAACAATACCAACTTGGCGATTTTTATATTGTAAGTTAAGGGTGTGCATACAAAAGCGTTAATTCCAGACAGTGGGTTCTGTGGGATCCCGTGGGGCTGGCAGAGCAGGGTTTCTCATCGTTGGCCGATTTTTGTCCTTCCTGAGCAGGGGCATGTGCTTGTGTGAGTGGCTCATGGTTGATAAGTCCCAGCAGGTTCCGCCTCTCTGGCTCAGCTTTTATTCCCTTTAACACTACCTTCTTCCCCTCCTGCCCCCTAAATCTGAAGTATAGGCCCAGGAAAGTTTGTCTCGGTATTTTTAAAGGCTTTACAGGGCTGTACCATGGAGTAATGTGGCCACTTCAATAGAACTAGGAGTGATGCTCCCCCTAGAACAGGCTTATCTTCTGAGGATGCGCATTGTTTCTCCCCATGCAGAGGGGCGGTTGGCTTCTGGAGCCGTCATATATCTGGTAGCTTATCCTTATGATTTTCCCACCTCATGAAGCTTCTGGCACATGGTGAATTACATGGATCTTTGTAGAATGTGTCAATCATAGATAATGTCACAAATTGTACAGTGTTCTTACATTTCAAATCATTATAGTCACACGTTATCTTGTGATTAAAATGCAGCACTATCCGTAGGGATGGTAACACATATATATTCATAGGCTGGACATTGGAAAGAGAAGAGTGAGTAAGTAAGACTCTTTCTCTGCTTTTGAGGAGTTCAGTCTAATGGGAAACATTCAGCTAGGAGAGGTAAACATTTGGCTTCCTGAAGAAAATGCCATGTAAACTTAGCTAGGTGGGACAGGGAGATAGGTGAGGGTAGGAAAATCCATCTGGACTGTAGAGTTCAAGGTTAGTGTTATTGGGAATGAGTGGGAACTGAAGCACAGCCTCTGCTAAACAGTTGTCTGAAATGTGTTGGAGAGTCATCGAAAGATAAGATGTGGATGGAAGGGGGAGAGGTGACATTAACTTTGTGATTTAGAAAGATCACAATGTGGGGAATAGATTAAAGACTAGGTATAAAGAACCAGATTGGGTTGAACATGTATATTTAGGAAGGACATTATGGCTACCTGAATTAGACAGACAGCTGTGGCTGTGAAGCTAATTAGAAAAATAAAGCAAATGTTTAGGATGTAGAATCATTAAGATGTAATAACTGTTAGGTGAGAGATTGGAGGTGAGGAAAACTTCACATCTTAAACTCGAATTAAATAAAAAATATATATGTACGTCACTCAACTCTGCATCTTGGGATCTGGAGAAAATTGGCTTTGACCCCCGTTTCACAGCCTGAAAAAAGATGTTTATGCCGGTCCCACAACTGCAGTTACCTCCAGCTCCGAGTGCTGTCTCCACTAATTGAGTGTCATTGATGCCGTATTCCCACTATGTCTGTTCCTTGTCACTTAAGAAGATGTAGGACTCTGCTCTCTTTCATGATTTCCATGAAAGGAAGGAAGAAAAGAAGGAAGAGGGGCGTGGGCAGAGTCTGCATGCAAACCGTGCATATGATGCCTTGTGTGTGTGACAGACATTTTGAAAGGGACATGGAGAGAGGTTAATACTACAGCATGTCAGCAACTTACAAGTTATGATTAGACATTCTCATTCTTAGAAATATGTCCCTTGGGTATTTCCCATGTTAAAAGCCCTCTTCATTTTTTTTGACTCCTTGCATCTTTTCCTCCTCCCTACAAAATTCCACTTCTTTTTAAAAAATTTATTATTATTATTATTTCCCTGAAAATCTATTTATAGAGAGAGAGGAAAGGCAGAAATATTCTACCTTTTCTCTCTTTTTAAAAAGATTTTATTTATTTACTTTAAGACAGAGGAGAAGGGAAGGAGAGAGGGAGAGAAACATCAATGTGTGGTTGCACTCGTGTGCCCCCTACTGGGGACCTGGCCTGCAACCCAGGAATGTTCCCTGACTGGGAATCGAACCAGTACCCTTTGGTTGGCAGGCTGGCACTTAATCCATTGAACCACACCAGCCAGGGCATATTTTACCTTTTTCTTCATTTTTGGGTATAGGGGAGGAGATTTTCTTTTGCTTTCCAGATGTTACTCTGGAATGTATCTTTTCTATATGCCCCACCAAGGTCTTTTCCTAAACACTTCCTCAAAGAATTTATTCTTTCTTCCTCAGATTCTTATAAAAATGGAGTTCTTACATTATTTTTTACATGGATGGTTAAATAGAAGATTATTCTAATTCAGAGATTGATTGAGAGGTTATTCCTGTGTTCTTCTGTATTATTAACTGAAGCCTGTGTGGTTTCTAAATGGTCTTTAAAATGCTTTGTATTTTTTATTTATTTTTTACTATCAAATTTCTTTAATGTTTTTATTTTTATTTATTTTTTATGTTGACATGATCAAGTATCTTTTATTTTTTCATTGTTATATTTTATTTAAGAAATTTTATTGTTGTTCAGTTACAGTTATCCCACCTTTTTCACGTTGCCAAAAATCATTATAAAAGCACACTATGTCACATAATCAGAATATTTAAAATTAGCATTAGTTGTGTTTTACTCCTTATAGATTTTCTAAGCTTTAGATAATTCATTTGTTATTTTTTTAGGGTGCAAACTTGACATTTTTAAGTTCTGATCATCCCACACTTCCAGAAAGCATAAAAGAAAGCACATTACTTATACTTCGAATCACAAATATTGATCAGATAGCTTTTGATTCATTCAGGTAAGTCAAACATACATTTGTCATTTTGAAGGTAAGTGAAAACACTATTATTCATTACTTAAAAATGAGATTCAATCTGAAAGTATTTTGACTTTAGATTTATATTTTTTAAAACAAAGCATAGCTATGTTTATCTATTTTATTTGTTATCTTATACTCCATGTGTGGGAATAGTTACAATCAAGTAAAGAACAAAAATGTCCCATTTTATGTTAAAGGTGCTTTATTAATTTGCCTTTGCTCTAACATTTTTATGAAATGCTAACAAAGCAATAAAATTTAAAGGATCGGATACAGTAAATATTAATATTTTCCCCCATATTTTAGTGTGATATTTTTTAGCACTAAAAATGTCTCAGCTTCCACATGTTAATAGTATTTATTTGTAATATGAATAATGAAAGAATAATACTATAAATGAGAAATGCATTTAAATGAATTTGAGCTGTTTCAATTATTTTTTATATATACTCTTATGTGCTGTTATTCTTGCTGAGTGATTTTTAGTGGTAAATATATGCTATTCTTACAAGTATTTCTTGGTAATAAATATAATTCAAAATGCTGATAATTGCTGTACTGTATGTGCACCAGCGGCCATATCCCACAAATTGGCTCTAAGGTAGTTTTTATTTACTATGTCATTTTACTGTATAGCTCAAAATGAATGCACTTTTTGGCTTTGTAATGTAATATTTTTCTATTTTATACTTTATAAGGCAATACTACTTTTAAATTTAATAGTTTTAATTATTTTAAAAGGACACCAAAATAGCTAAAAAAATGACTATAATCTTAAAGATACTTGTTGGAAGGTTTTAAGAATGTTAGCCCTTAGTATACACTTAATCCTCCTGGGAATTAAATCAGCATGTAGAAGGTGGGATTTGATTAATCTTGGCACTGTTCCAACTTTGATGAGACTTTCATTTAATCTAGAATGGGGAAGAGCTTAGAGTTTCCATACTCAAGGTTACAAAACAGAATGTGTTTTTATCACTGTGAACATGTCAATTGCAGGACTGATTCTGTGGAACATGAGGATGATACAACCAGTCAAGAAGCCAATGATAGGCTGGTCTTTAAAGCCATTCAAGGTGTGTATCATTTTATTTGCTCTTGACTATTTCAAATGTTTAACAATTTTGTTTGTACATACTAAAGCAGTATGTTTCAGATATTTCTTAGTTTTATGGCACTTGATTTATATTTCCAAATTGCTTATCTTTTTGTAAGTTAATTATATGTATGTATGTCTAAAAATACTTTTAAGATACCCCCTACTTTAATGATTCTAATTGAATAACTGATATTCTTTGAATTATGAATTTAACAATTCTAGAAAGAACTCAATTATATGGATTTTATTCATGGACTGAATCAAATGTAGCTAATTTTGTAACATAATACTTGTCTCATGCATTAGATGCCATCCTAAAGAGATGTGTGGTCGCCTAGTGTAAAAGACGTGAGACTAGAAGCCACAATTCCATCATTCAATAGACATATGACTGTGCAAACCTCTTGTACCTCTTTCTTCATCTCTAAAATGGGGGAAATAATCAGTTTTATTAACTTTTCATAGTTGTAATATATACAGGCTTTGGACACTCACACATGTTGCATATTTTATTTTTAGAGCCTAATTTTTTAATTGCTACAGTATAATAGGCTCAGACAATTCTTGCAGTCAGTTTCATAGTCTAGAAGTAACCACAGGAAATCATCATGTAATTTATGAATTTTAATAAATTCTGGTTTATCATTTAAAGACAATCAGGGAGTGAGAAGACTAGAAATTTTCAAAGTTGTTTGAAATTGGTATTTGAAATCTCGAATTTTCTTGATGTCATTGTTAGTAAATTGTTTTTTCTATCATGGTCAAAACAGTATTTGTCACTATTGTATCTGGTGACATGTACCTCCTCTAATGTATTGCACTCAGTAACTACTTTAGTAAAGTTCACTATATGTTCTTAAAATGGCACAAACTTCATTAAGTGAAATTGATTAATGACCCACAAAAAATGCTGGGGCCTGAGAATATAACCTCTTATGAATTCCTGGAAGAAAGGGTTACTTTAAAAGTGTCAGCAAGGGATAACACTCCAAAGCCTTCATGCCATTTCACATATATGTTATACCTTGAAAACTGCAAACTATTTTAGACATTTTGAACTAATAATTTTTGAGTGGTTTGACTGGTGTCAATTTTGTAATTCAGTTCGTATCAACAAAGACGGAAGAAAGAGATGAAAAATGTGGTGTTGTTAGATGAAGAGAGTGCCTAGAAAATAAAATTCTATTTGGAACATTTAGGTTATTTTGATACTGCTCAAGTGACATTATTTTCCTACATTTAAAATGAACACTTTCACCACACAGTGGTGCTATAGTTCTGGTATATTTACACATAATTTCATATCTAACCTTCTTTATTACAAAAACTCTGTTTTCCAAAGTTTTTTTTATCAGTCATACATATGATTTGGTTGGCACTTCTTATAACATGACATCAACTTTAGTTTTCTTACATGAGAGACAATTGCAATTTGATACATTTGTGAACAGGAACTATTAGTTTCCATCTCTCCTCTTCCTAAACAGATAAGCTGAAAAAACAGCTACATAAGAAAGGTGTTCGTATTTTGTCTGGTTTGGGAAAATACTTTCAACAATTGGACAAAGAAGGAAACGGACTTTTAGATAAACCAGATTTTAAGCAAGCTTTAAAAGTGTTTCACTTACAAGTGTCTGAAAAGGTATGTACCACAGATACTTCACTGCAGTAAATGGTTTATTATTCTTAGTTGATATTCACTTCTCTGCTGAAATTTTAGTAGTTCATTTGTCTCCTTTTTCCTGAGGCTCTGATATCAGTGTTCAGCCATCAGGTAACAAATCCTGTTGGTTTTTAAAATTTCAACATTCATTCTTCTATCATATTCACATATATGATATATGTGAATATATGATAGAGAGAGAGAGAGAGAGAGCGCACATATTAACTACCCATTTTCCTAAGACAATGAGAAGATACACTCTAAGATCTTCATTACAATCATAACAATATAAATGGTTACAAAACAATATGATATGTGTTAAGTAGAGAATGCTTTCAGAACACCCGGCATAAATTCCAAACCATGTTATAGGGAAGGAGAGGGAAGATCATAGAGGGATTCCTGGTGGAGGATATATCTGAGCTGAATTTTATTTTATTTTTTATATATTTTATTTATTTATCTTTAGAGGGGAAGGGAAGGAGAGAGGGAGAGAAACATCAATGTATGGTGGCCTCTTGTGTGTCCCCTGCTGGGAACTGGTCTGCAACCCAGGCATGTGCCCTGACTGGGAATCGAACCACAATTGTCTGGTTCGCAGGCCTGCGCTCAGTCCACTGAGCTACACCAGCCAGGGCTTGAGCTGAATTTTAAAGATGAGGAATTAAGCAGACAAGAGGAGAGGAGTGTGGATCAGACACTGGATAGTTCTCGAAAAGTGAAGCTCATTGTGAAAGCATGGAGGACAGAGGGAGTGTGGCCTGCCCTGGAACTGCAAATGCTTTGTCCCCTCACGCCCCACCCCCAGGGCCTTCACACATACTGTTCCCTCACTGTGAGTAATCTTCCTCTAGACCTTTGCATGGTTAGCTTTTCTCATCACTCGGGCCACAGCTTTTCCTATGGAGAGTGCGCCCTGACACTTCTGTCTATAGGAGAACCCCATCCGATCTCTGGTCCTCTGCACTTCCTATTTTATTTTCTTTATGCCACTTCCTCTGCAAGCAGAATGTTAACCCATCAGGGCAGGGACCAGGGTGCTTCTAGTTTCCTGCTCTGTTTCTAACACCTTTCAATAGAATCTGGCATACAGCAAGTACTGAATAAATAAAGACACAATGCTTTACTTTGAATGGATAGATGGTGGAAGGAAAAGAGAAGAATGAAGAGAAATAGGCTTGGGAGGGTCTGTTGCATTAAAGCCTTTCATGCCATGCTAAGAAGTTTGGATTTTATTATAAAAGTATGAATTTGATTCAAATTTACCTTAAGAATTTCAGTTAAAAAATCTTCTTCATTGTTCATTTTTGCTTCTACAGTCTTGTCACAAGATGTAATGTGTTTTGTGGAGGGAACACTGGAAGTTGAGTTTGTGAGATACAGGTTCAAGTTTTAGGCTTACTACTTGAACTGTGTGATCTTGAGAAGGTCTTTTCACTTTTTGAATTGATAGGCTGCGCCTGGGCAATCCAGAGACAATACTTAGAGTATTTGAGCTGTGAAGCTCTAGTGAGAAAATGACACAGGAATATGCTTTATTGACTATAAAATCTGTACCAGCGTGATTTTGTATATTATTGTTGTGATGGACCTAACTTTTGTGGTTTTGCAACATTTAATTTCATGGCCCACCTTGTGACACACACCGTGAGTTATTGAACGGCCTCTTTTTTTCATAAAACAAAACAAAAGTAAAAACCCAAAAAGACAGCAATAGAAAATTAGAAAGCCTTGGTGTCTTTATCAGCAATTATACAGATAATTAATACCCAAGGTAAAATTGGAAGCCAGATAATCTGGGACAACCTGTATTCTTTCTGCTTCACCACAGAACTTCCCTTCTTGATTGGCTTGCTATATTTTTATGATTAGGTTCAGGAATAAAAACTTAAAAAAATTATATAAGGTACCTGTTATAGGGAGAACATATACAATGAAAATATGAATAAGGTCCCCCCCTTTTTCATATATTTTAAATAATAGTCCCTGTTTTTCCCACTGATACCACTGGAGGCTGACCATATAATGATAAACAAACGTAAGTGGCTGTAAAATAAGAAAATAATAGTCACCAACCTAATTGTAGAGTTAGTTTGTCATAAGGCGTAGTTGCATTCCCTGATGGGAAATTTAAAAAAAAAAACAAAACAGTATTCAACCAAATAGCTTAATTTCTATAGAAATAGTGTGATTGAATTAACCTCAGTTATTTTTAACTGAATTATCATTTTTCATATCTGAAAAAGAGTTACATAGATTTGTTGCCACTTTGGCTAAATTATTTAATTCTTGAAAATTATTTATTTTAAGCCTCTAGTGTTAGCTGTTCAATTCTAGTATTTTATGAGTTGGGTGAGCAAATAGAACAGTTGGGGGGAGAATAAAACATTCTATTAAATAGTGCATTTATAAAAACAGTAAGTGGCAATGGTAAAATGAACAGATTCGCATAAGGGATTTACTCAAAATAACATCTTTTGGTGTAAATTATGGAATAATATTAGAGTCACTCAAATTTGCTTTATACTTTCAAGCATAGTTAGTGGTCCCAACCACAGAGTTTCTTTAAAGAGCTTTCTGAGTCGATTTGGTTGGATTTATATATAATTTTTTACTTTGTCTAGGACTGCAAAAGATGTAACGAAATACTATGATTGTGTAGTCATGTACAACTTAAGGGTGCAAGAATGGTTGGTCTGTGTGTTATTTCTAGGATTTCGAGTCTTTGTGGTTGATTCTGAATGACAGTGGCAATGGCAAGGTTGATTACAGAGAATTCAAACGTGCCATTATTGGTGAAATGAACGAATATAGGAAATCGTTTGTTCGAAAGGTAACTTTTTAGGTAATCTTTCAAATGCATGTAGTTTCTTTTAATAGATTGTTGGGTTCCTTATTTTAAAACTTTAATGAATTACCATTGAAAATATTTTAAATCCCTTACCTATAATGTATTTTGGTTTTAGTAAAACACAAACAAAAAAAAAACATGTACAAATACAACTGTCCCAGGATAATGCTAAATAATTTGTGCATTTGTTTTAGGAAATATTATAAAAGGAAAATAAAATCTGAATCAAATTTTGGCTCACAAATTACTAGTTCCATAAATTGCTGGCTCCATAAATTACTAGCTCTGTGACTATATGTGCTTTTTAAATATCCCCAATATCCTCAGTTCCTTGTCTCATAGAGGTGTTATAAGGTCTGAATGAGATAATACATACGACTTTACATTGTGGCTTTGCTGTGGCCAAGGTGCTCAATATGTGCTATCTTAGGATGACTGTGATGGTTCTCTAGTTTTTATAATATGCATGCTGAATGTTAAAATATGGATTAAAACAATCATGTTAAATTGGAATTAAAAACCAGGAGTCCTGGTTTTTATAGGAAGCCACAAATTAATGCAGTTCTGGTAGCCAGTTTTAGAACATACTTTTGAGCAGCATAGTTTTCTTTTCCTTTTGTTCATGTGCCTAATACAAAATATATATGTATCTAATACTGAACAAAGCCACTGTATATAGAGTCGTATAGACAATTACATCAAGTATCAATCACAAATAGAAAAATATCAAAATATTAACTGGCCAACAGATACACAAAAGTACCTTAAGCCAAACAAATTTGCCTCATTCATAGTATTTTTAAATTTCCATTTATTGGTACTTTACATATCCTGGTGACAGGTTTGGGTGTTGGAAATGTAAACCAAAGAGTTGTCTCCTTTATTTATCTTGGTGTTTGGAATAGAGGAAAAAAGTAGTGTCACAAAGTACAATACCAGTTTGCTAGGGCTGCCATAACAAGTGCCACAGATTGGGTGGCTTAAACAATGGAAATCTGTGTCCCCAAATTCTGGAGGCTAGAAGCATAAGACTAAGGTTTCAGCAAGTTTGGTTTCCCCCAGGCTTCTCTCCTCGGCTCGTAATTGTCTTCTCCCTGGGTGTTCACGCAGCCGTCCCTCCGTGTGCGTTGTCTTTGCCCCAGTCTCTTTTTATATGGACACCAGTCACATTGGATTAGGTCCACCCCAATGATTCCATTTTTAACTTAATAACTCCTTTGATTTTAGTGATGGAATATTTGGAAATTCACTTACATGTCAAAATACTTCTGGCAGTTTGTTTTAGCCATTGATCAGTTTCATGTGACTCTTAAACTGGAATTTACCGGACAGATTTTTAACCTAAGTCCAGTGTGCAGAGGAGGAAAGCCAGGGCAACGGAGGTTAGGTTACTTTATCAAAGTCAAGGTGCTGGAGACTGATAGAACTGGAAAGAAGATACCTACCAAGAAGGGCTCCTGGTGACTGTTCTCAAATGCATAAACAGAGCCTAGCAGCCATTCCTAAACAGGAGCACCTCACACAGACCATGCATGCTTCAGGGAGAAGCGTGCAGGGAACTGCCTGGCTGAAGTGTGTTCCTGCTATAGGAGCCAGCCCTCATAAAGGAGTTCCTGGAATTGTGTTTCAACCAATAGGACTGAGGCTTTCCTTGCCAATTGGACCTGTACAGCTATACTTTTATTAGCATCCTACCAACCAATCAGAGCAGCTCCATTCTGACCAATCAGGACAGTGCCTTTGAAACCAAACCGCAAGGATTTGGAGTCTCCATTTGCATGAGGATGGACTAATTAGGGTCCATGGGTGGGGACTTCTCTTTCTATAAGACAGCTTTCCTGTGACTCTGGGCACTTTCTCATTCTGTTGAAGACTAAAACTACTTTCCCTGGCTGAAGCTGAAACATTGAAAATATCTCCTCAGACTAAAGCAAAGCAGACCAGAGAGCAGGCAGACCCAGATCAGAGCAAAGTGGAGCAGACTGGATGGGAGCAGAGCTTTGTGAAAGGGGCCTCACTTAAGGGCCACCTCGCCTGAGGACCACCTTGCAGCCATGCTTTTACACAGCCTCCTATTTCATATAAAGCTTACTGCTGTGGAGCTGTACCACAGCCATGCTACATCACAATTGAGTTGTTCACACCGGATACATTTTCCTCCTTCACTGTGTAGTGCAGATTGGGTATTCTAGTTGGGGTTGAACTGGTGCCAACAACCATCTTGCTCCAGTACCTTTCTCCCTTGTATTTATGATTCTGCCATCATATACCAGTTTAGTATTTTTAAACTGTCTTTTTTAGAACCTATAAATGACTACTGCAGAATAAAAAGTTAGGTTCACATGTCTAAAGGTTTCATAGAAAAAATAATATTTCTGTCATTACTTAGGCCTTTATGAAACTGGATTTCAACAAAACTGGAAGTGTGCCTATTATGGACATAAGAAAATGTTACTGTGCAAAGAAGCACCCTGAAGTGATTTCAGGTAATTGTTATGAGTCAAAAGGCATTAGATTTCTAAAATGTTAGTTAAAAAAAGCAGTATCTTCAAATAATATTAATTCATAATGTGGACCTGAGGCCATTAAGGGAGGAATAAACAATTATCTTTAAAACAGAAAAAGTGAGAGCTATTTAACAGTCATTAAAAAATTCTTGGGTCTATTGTCTGTACTTTTTTTTCCTTGATGTTTATGATCAACACTGAACTTTTATTTCCTGTTGAGATAGTGAAGAATTTGACTTAAAAAGGACAGAAAAGAGATAGAGAACAGATAGGTACATCTGCAAATTTTCTGAGTTAGTTTTACTGAACATGTTTATACTTGAAGATTTAAGGAAGGATGAGGGGATGTCTTTCTCTAGGGATAGAGCTATACATATAATGAATGTACATTGTCTATGGAAAATTGAGGCTATAGAACATATCTTTAAGTAATTCTAGAGGTTTATTAACTATTATATTTCTTTTGACTTTAATTTTTACATAATTTATAAGTGAATTTTCATTATATAGAAAGCATTTGGCCATAGTAACTTCTCTGTTTATATTACATTTCCCTCTGTAAAGGTAGCAATTACTATTTTTCATATACACATATGTTTCAGTCCTTACTCTATGGATTTTCATAGATATATATGTGTTATAAATATCTAATACTTTTTGAGTTTTTTTCATGAACATAGTGTTCATGAAACATTGTGTTATGTAGTTTGCTTTTTATATTCAACAGTGCATTTTAGAACTCTTCATGTTAATCCACATTGAACTATCTTTTTATCTTCTGCATATTATTCCTTTAAAAATCAATATAGTACAGTTTGGCTGGGCCTATATAATGCTATTTTCTTGGGGTACTATCATGACTTAGAATATGTATGTTTGAAGTTAATTAATACTTGCAAATTGCTTTGTAACATGGCTATTCCAGATTGTACTGCCATTAGTTGGAGAATTCATTTTACCTCAGATTTTTGACAACCTAATAGACTAAATTTTTAAAAATTTGTATTACTGTGGTTACTAGGGAAGTTAAACATTTTTGTATATTTGTTGACCATTTATAATGAACATTTAATGAACAATTTCTAATTCATATTTTAGATTATATAGTTAACTACTATAGAATACTATTTTTCTAGAATTTTCCTCTTTGATATTAAAAATACACTGTAATTATTTAGGTTTATTACTGTCAATAGCCCTTATAGTTTATTTATTACTTTTCATTGTGAAGTTAAAAGAAGCAGAATTTGTTACAAAGATTAAAGTTGAATGACTTCCCAATTTTAAAAAATATATTGCAGGTCAAAATAGCTTCATTTGCTTATTAATGACTTTAAATGAACTACAGTTGCCAAAAGAGAATTTACAAAATTAGTTATACATATTATATCTTTCCCTCAAAACCCATATCATTCTCTTCTTTTTTCCTTTAATTAATTATGTTAAAGATAAAAACAAGATAGTTTACTTATTTCAAAATTTGGTGACTTAACACCATGGTTTTTTCTCTTTGTCTTCTCTAATAATCATAAGTTGTTTAAATAGCTTTAGTTTTTTTTTAATTGTTGTTAAATTGTTGGTGAAGGTTTTTGTTTTGTAGTTGGTTAAACTTCTGTTAGGTTAAGAAATGACATCCATTGTCTTTATATTCAGATGAAAAAGATAAGCTAACAAACTATACAGATTTAAAAAGAGGAAAGCCTGTTACTGTGTAAAAATTTTTTTATAATATTACAAAATTATAATTTATTCACATGTCCATTTTGGGGATATAGATTGTTTACAATTTTAATTAATTTCAAATTGAATCTTTTACTTTTACACCAGATGTAATTTAACTACAAAAAATTTTTACTTTGTTTAAATAATTTATTTTTAAAAGTATACTTAACTTTAATAGAAATGGAATTTATCAAGTGTTTTTCTGTGTAATGGTATTAGAAATCTAACGTTTATTAAAATATTAAGAGAAGCAAAAGAAGGGTTAGTTACAAATGATGGAAGATAGGTTATTTCCTGGGTGAGAATACAAAGGAAGTACAAATTTCTTGAGTATTTGAAATAAATTTAAATAAAAAATCTTTTACCTAGAAAAATAGTATGAAAATTTATCTCTTCAAACATGTGGATTATAAACATAGAGGAAAATCTCCCTATATATTTTTATTTAGATTAGATCTTGATTAATTTTTATCCATGATTTCCCTCACAAATGATTTTATCCATGATTTCAATCACAAATTCACTTTATTATTTTATATTACTATCTCTGTGTAGCATAAGTATTCAGTCCTTTTTTGACCTTTTTTTTTAAATAGTCGTGTTCTTTATTCCTTTCATGTTTTTAAGAGACAGCAAGCTTTTTTCTATTCTAAGTAGATTTTATTCTTTCAGTTCAAAGGTACTTTACAATGAGTTGTTACCTGAATCTGTTAGAGAGCCTCTGGTGTTTGAGAAAGAGCCAGCTCTTACTGTAATTTTGCCTCTTCTGTTAGATGAATATTCAGGTGGTATTCCAATTTAAGTTTTAGAAAACTGTACTTGAACAATAATTAAATAAATTAAAAAAATAAAATGCAATATGACTTTAAAATGATTTATACCAACTATCCTTATAAAAGTAAATGAAAAATATAAAATCATTTATAGGGTCCAAAGATTTTTTTTAGGCATCTTTTCTGCTCTTGTATATGGGTCTCTATTTTATTTATTATCTGACAACCTGTAGCTTCCTTTCTTCTCTTAATTCCTCTTTTCATATTAAAAAATTAATGAATGTCTCTTTTCCTGTTCTATTCTAAGATCCTGAGAGTAAATCAGTGCAAGGAAGGGTAGGCAATGAGGGGGGTGGCAAATTAGTGAGAAGAGTTCTATGATGGAGAACCCACATTTGGGGTGGTCAGTGAAAACTTTCCAAGAGAATGGTGTTTAAGCTGAGATGGATCTTCTGCTCCAGCTGACCTTAATATGATCAAAGTTACTTACTTAAATAGCCTTTTCTGAATAGCTCTCTTTCTGAATTAAAAAATCAAGTGAATTTTTAAAGAGGATCAGATATTGTGTTTTCTCTTTTAATAACAAACTAAAGAATTGCAGTTATTTACATATATGATTCTCAGCATCTTCTAATAGGATAAAATCAGTCATATTTAATATAAGCCAATAAAAATTGCCTACTTAATATAAGAGATGGAAATAGAATGATTTATCAAATGTAAGTTCTTCCAGCAAACATTTTCATAGGCCCTTGAATCTTGTGTTTGCAGTTACATTTTCTAGCTGCAATTGTGAGTAACTGATTCACAAAGTAACTAATGCCTGAATGTAGAGATATCTTTTATACATCATATCACTGTGTTAATCTTTGAAAGCATTTGTTTTCTTCTTCTTTCCAATGGGAATGAAGGTGAGTCCATTAAAACATTAAGAAAAATCAGGATATCTATGATAGTTAACTATTATTTTGCCTCTACAGAGGATTCATCCTATCAGAAGTTTAAAAGATGCCTCCAAAACATTAATCATTAAATTCCGGTTTATGAAAGAAAGTGTGTAAGTAAATTGGAGGATACTTTGACATGAGATTTTAAATCATTGAAAAGATTTTACAGGGTGATAAGTATTTCTTTACCATCGTCAGTCATTTTCCTGAAATTTTAAGGAGATTGTTACATGGTCAGTACTATTTTGCAGGTCATTCCACGGAGGAAGAAATCAAATTATCTTTTCTAGAAACATTAAAAGGCGCCTGCAGCAAGTCTGATGAAGTGTCATATGGGGAATTTGAAGATTACTATGAAGGTCTAAGTATAGGAGTGGTGGATGACGAGGACTTTGTGTCTATCTTACGCACTCCATGGGGGATTTAGTTTTTTAAAATTAGCCCTAAGCATTTTAAAGGAGAGATTAATTTAATGCAAAGTATGATCAACCATTGGAATGTATTATTCTAGAGCTCTATTCTGTTTTTTTTTCCTCAAAAAGGTTGAATCTGGAAAGAGAAATATTCAGAAAGGAATATATAGGGATATGGATATATTTATGTGCAAGTATGAGTACCTCCCTGTCTATAAGTTTTAAATTATCTGTATTTTTTATTTATTACTTACCTTGAATATATTTCAGAGCTGTTTTTATTAGCCTTCATAGGGAAGTAACATCTGTATCAGACTATATGAAATCATTTATTGTAGTAACCAAGTTTCTTTCCATTTTTTTCTATTCATTTCCCCAAATAAAATTGCTACCATTCTCAATTTGTTAAATTGAAATTGAGCTCAAAGCTTTTAAGATTGAAATAGTCCACCTTGTTTAAAACATAGGAAAATGTTAAAGGAATTAAAGGATATGCAAGAGAAAATTTCAATGCAGGGTGATTATGGATGTTTTCTGTAACATAAATATTTTTGAATGATGGAGGCCTACCTGTAGAATGTGTATTTAAACACAGACTTGTGTATCCTTGCCTTCTAAGTCATGTGCTGTTGTTTGTTCAATAGAACACAATGTAATTATTCTAGGGACCATTTGTCTATTTGTCTATTTTATTTTTTAAATGTGATCCTTACAACCTGCACAGAATTATTATTTAGTGAGAAACAGTACAAAATAGAAGATGGGATGTTTTCTTAGATTATTAAATAAGCATCTCAAAAAGTACATTATCACATATATGGACTGAAGGATAATTTAGTAATTCTCAATAAAAATATAAAAAGATATTTTGTGCCTTAAGATGAATGTAAGTTATTCTAAGCACCTTTTTTGGGGGGTATATAAACAACTGAAACATTTTTTATGAATAGAGGTTATTTAATAGTTAGACATGTTATAATCATTTTTCTAAATTCTTCTGTTTTTCATTTCTTTTTGGAAATACAAAGAAGAGAATGTTATAAAGTTGTTCTGAGTACATAATTTTTTAGCAATACTTTTATATGTCAATATAAATTAGAAAAAATAGTATTGAGCAAAATAAGTGGTTAAAAAGTAAAAATAAATACTTTGTTGAATATGACTTTTTGCATATAATTTTATTCATCTATACTGTTGGCAGCCTTATACAAAATGTGATTGATGTGTGTGAACTAAATAAATTCAAAGTAGTACCTTTTCAATAGTTGAGGAGGTACCAAAACTCACTACTGAAATATCAGAAAGAAAATATGTATAATTATTTTAGTGCTGTTTTCACTAGACAAATTCTTATTCCTTGGAATTTTTTCAGTTAGGTTATTGTGATTAAAACCATGTATGTGCTTGAAGACATCTCTGTGCCATTCTTTTACTTGGAAACATTTACATAAGTATAGTCATCCTAAGCCCTGTGAATGGGCTTGTCATATTGAAATGACTGATAATACTGTGGGTGCTCACTAGGCATGTAGTGTTTTCATCGATAAAGTTGTGTTTAGTGCTCTTTCACATACCCATTTTTAATATTTTGTCATATTTTCCTATAAATATGATCAGAAAATGTACAAAAAAGGGGGGCATGATTCTCCCAGGACTTAACATATTAATAAGGTAGCATAGTTTTAAATAAACCTCTATGCTCATAGTGTAAATATTCCTATGTGGTTATCTATAGGAAGTTTCTCTATTTAAAAGATGTAACTTTAGTAGTTAATTTCTTATCTTACAAAGTTATTGCTGTGTAAAGTTAGAAAATACATGTTCAGTGTTAGTTGGTGTATTTTGTTAAATTAGAATTGGCGGCACAATAAATCATTCTGCATTTGCCTCACTTCATTCTTCTTTGACTTTTGTGTATAAAATCTAGTGTTTAGTATTCAGTTCAATAGAAGAGCCTTAATAGAAGTTATATTTTCAAACATCCAAAATGTGATAATTGACTATTGAAATTCTCTTCTTAATGGTCTTGAAGATTCTGAAATATCTCTTGATTAACTTTAAAATATTGTTATATGTTGTAATGATGTTACGTGAATTTCATAGTTAACTGTATTTATCATTCTCTAGATCTTTAAAATGTAGTTACTTGTTTTGATGTAGCATTGCTTTCCCAGTTAACAATACTGTTTATTGAGTTCAATATACTGATTTACTTTACTTTTTCTATTCTTATAAATAAAGTATTACAAGATGTTCAGGAAAAATTTACATTTTACTAGAAAACAAGGGCTATTCTTTAGGAATTTTCTAGCTATATTTAATTAGGAAATAAATATGCATTTACATGATAAAGCAACTATAGATAAAAGTGTATGTTCCTGTTTTAAACTATATAGTATATAAATATATATTGTTTGATGAAGTGACTGCACAGGGAGAGTCACTTAGAATAATTCACAATTTTGATACAGATATAAAACACATTTTATTAATTACATTGGATTTCTAGTCAGTCTAAGTTGTCAGTTTACTTCAGGAGAAATTTGTACACAATAAGTTATGCTTACTGCAGATGAACATGCATTGTGGGATTGGAGTTCCCAGTACTTCACAGTAATGCACACACTGAAAAACTGTCATTACAATGAGGCTGGCCAATGAGGGCAAACATCTGTAGTGAATGTGCTTCAAGAAGTAGAAAGAACTGAATCTATATAACTCAAGCCAAGCAAGAGAAAAGAGAATCTAGTGGGTTGGCAGGGGTGTATTAGTATCTGATAATGCAAAAAAGCTCTTGTCATAGCCTTCTGCTTGTATTTTATGGTCATAAAACTTCTAAGGAAAACTAATTTATTGCATGCTTCATATATAAAGAATAAATGCCCCATGTTAAAGCCATTGTTGACCTGATTCGTCACAGATTTTCAGTCATTCATACTTAATTGTGCAGCACTATCCATGCAATTGCCCAAGGTTCTGAGAAATTCTAGAGCTTTCTCACACTCCTATAGCACACTCATTCTCAATTCCTTTGGCTTATTTCTTTTGAATCTGTCCCCTTCACTGCTCTTGAGGCTTATGCTCTTACCAGTGCTTTGCTCCAGCTCTTACCTCTTCTCAAGTGCATTAGCCCCTCATCAACCCTGTCTCCTCCCAGTCCTACTTCAGCCCATCCTACACATCGCTGTTGGAGCAATTTTTCTGAAATGCACATTACTTCCACGATTAAAGTTCTCCCATAGTTTCTCCTATCTTTCAGGAAAGTTCAAACTGCTTACCTTAACACATAAAACCAAAATGATCTTGTCTCCCTAAGTTCATCGTCCTGCACTCAGCTCTGGTAACGCCTTTCAGGGACCCTGGTGCACAGCGGTGGCTGGAACTCCCAGGGACAAACTGCTGGGATTTCGCTGAGCTTACAGAACAGCTTGTGCAGTCTGTGTGCCTCCTTGCTGGGACACACTGGTTTAATAAATGACTATGTGTGGGAGAATTTGGTCTGAATTTTTTTTCGTTAAACTGGATAGTGAGGTTAGGAAAAACAGCTAATTCTCACCTACCTTAAAGATTTTAGTGGGGAATGACAGTTAATCACCATAAAGAACCTTATTGCTTGTGTACGACTGAATGACTCTTAATTTAGTTGTCAGTTCACAGCTGCAGTTCTCTGTCAGACACTGCAGTAGTCCTCACAGACCCAAAAATGATATGGTAAAGTGCCTAAAGTAGAAGATCAAAGATTTCTAACACTCCTAGTCCATGATTAGTATAACACAAGCATAAACTAGGCACAGTGGGTCCTGGAAGAACTGTTATTATCCTTTCAGGAAGTAATAATTCGTTGCTCTGAAAACATATGATTTATTAAAGTATTACTGAGGTGGCAATTAAAGTGTTCTACATAAAAACTGAAGTAGCAAAGATTTTAGAGATTCAATTGTATAGATTGTACGAATGTATTAATTGAAAAACTCTAATAATGCATATCAGTATTCTTTTTGGACATCCAAGCAAGGTAAAGTTACTTGGAAGGATTTGAGTTATAAAATTACCTATCTGGTGACAAATTTTATTCAGTGAGAAAACAATTAAGGTCCTTGTTGTGTTAAGTAGTCTTTTTATCAAGTTAGAATGGAATTTCTGAGCCATGGCTGAATGAATGCAGATGTAAATGAAAAGATTCTCACCTCTGCAACCGTGTGTTGAGTTTCCTGACATTTTCAGATGATGAGAAAGTCGATATGAAACAGATGACTGCAATTCAAGGAAATCATTATGTGTCACTTACACAAGCTGCATACTTATCTAGTATTTGAAGAGATACTGATTGATAAAAATATATGTTGTCAAAGAAAAGAAATTTGAGAAAGTCCTCAGATGACCACTCAATCAAGAAAAATTATGTACCTATACTAGTATTTTAATATAGACGATGTTTGTCAGGATGGGCGGGGGTAGGACAAGAAGGCGGCTGAACTACAACCTGGAAAAGAGGGCTGACGTCCAACCAGAGAGCTGAAAGGGTGGGCTTTATTCGCAGAGCAACCTGAGCCCCAGGAGAACCACCAATGATTTAGTGCCACTTTGTTCAAAGGGGACCAATCCCCAGCTCCCATGAAGAGAGCCAACCAAAATAAAACCTCACCACATTTCCTGCTTGGGCACAACTTCTTTGACCCCACTTTGTGGACCAGAGAACCTCGCCCAGGTGTACAAACCTCAATAAAGCTCTATACTGCCTAACTTTTTGGTTGATTGGCATTTCTTCCTTGGCAGAGCCTAAGGAAACCTTGCAATCTTGTGGAAAGAGCACACGCTAAAAGTCACTGAAAACTTGAGCTCTGCTGCAGATCAGCACTGTGACTTTGGGGAGCTACTTAATGTCACTGAGCCCCTACTTCACCTGAGGGTTGGTATGAGGATTGAATATAGATATGGATATACTTGGAGATGTAGATGTAGATATATGTATGTCTAGATACATAGTACTGATCACAGCAGAGCAGAGAGATGTAACTCAGCATACATTTATCTCTGTTTTAATGAGGAGTTTTAAAGGAATTTAAAAACTAATGAAAAAATGACCTTAGTTTTTTCTTGATTTATCTCAAACCGCAACCATAAGAGCGATTCTTTTAAAGAGACATAATTTAATGGGTAAGAATAATTTGCCACTCTTACCTCATGAATCTAATAAACATTATTATTATCTTCATCAGAGCCCATGAAGGAAAATCCACATGTAGTATTAAGGTTAGTAACAATCTTTTCCTTCGAAGTATGTAGGGAAGTGAAAGGTTAAAAAGCCAGTTAGTAACAAAATTTGTAAGCATTATGCTAAGTGAAACAAGCCAAGCAGTGAAAGACAGATACCATATGATCTCATCTCTAAGTGGACCCTAATCAACAAAACAAGCAAGCAAGCAAAACAGAGACACTGAAATAAAGAACAATCTTACAGTAACGAAAGAAGAGAGGGGAGAAAGATAATGGGGGATAATGAGGAAAGGCCATCAAGGAACATGTATGAAAGACACATGGACAAAGCCAAAGAGGGTGTTTCAAGGGTAGGAGGTGGAGATAGGCAGGGTCGAGGGGCATGGATGGGTGAAAATGGAGACAGTTGTACATGAACAACAATAAAAAAGAACAAAAATTTGTTACTGAAATTAAAGGATGATACATGTAGAAGACTAATTTTATATCTGTAGAGACTAGCAAACATCCCTAATATTTTTGGTATATACACTAAAACAATAGATGGCCTTGAAACCTGATAAGACATTGTATATTTCGAAGATGGCTGCAATAGTATCTTTAATCGCACATCTTACCTAGTGAACTTGGTGTCTACGTCCCCTCTCTTAGGTCTGGGTGACATGTTACTTTTTGTAACAATAGTTTGTAGCTGCAGCTATGTTGCGTTACATCTCTGACTAAGCCACAAAAAGCCTCTTG